AGGGACGGTCTGAATCTGGGCCGCGCGCACACAGGTGTGACCAGGAGAAAGAGGAGGGCAGGATAGAAGACGAGGAGTATAATGATGGAAACTAAGAGGACAACGATGTAGGACCCTTTGTGGGGACAGTCGCGAGCGGGGCAGGCGGGGGGAGAGGGGGGTCGGCATGGCATGGTACTGCGGCCGCGGCTAAGGCTGAAAAGCCCAAACGGTGGGGTGTGGTGCGTGTTGTTCTCATAAAGCGATGGGAATATTCGGTTTATATGATAATAATTTTGGGTATGCGATAATTGTTTTTGGTTTGCGCGTAATAATATTAGGTTTCAATATATATGTTTGGATTATTGGTGTGGATTCATGTTGAGTAAATTGGGCATATGTGGGGGGCAATTACTCGGGGTGTTCTTCGGTAACTTGTTCACGACCGTCGGTCGGATACCCTCAAGGGATGGCAATGGCAGTGGATGTGGTAGCCGTAGTAGTAGTAGTTGTAGTAGTAGTAGTAGTAGTACTAGGAATGGTAGTAGTAGTAGTAGTAGTTGTAGTAGTAGTAGTAGTAGTAGTAGTAGTAGTAGTAGTAGTAGTAGTAGTAGTAGAGTCGTAGTAGTAGTAGTAGTAGTAGCAGCAGTAGTGGTAGTAGTAGTAGTAGTAGTAGTAGTAGTAGCAGTAGTGGTGGCGGTAGGAAGCAGTAGTAGATGCACTGGTGGTGGTAGTAGTAGTAGTAGTAGTAGTAGTAATAATCGTAGTAGTAGTAGTAGTCGTAGTAGCACTACGACTGTGAGTAGTCCTACTACTAGTGATAGTCATCGTAGTAGTAGTCGTAATAGGAATAAACATAGGAGTCGTAGAAACAGTATGTAGTACTGGCAGTCGCCGTTTCAATAATAGTAGTACCACGACCTGCTCATGAACTCAAGATCTTCAAATTTGTGAATATGCTTCGTGTTAATAGTAGTCGTAACCACAGTAAAAGTAGTAGTACTAGTCGTCGTAATCGTAGCCGTAGTAGAACACGTAGTAGATGTAGCATATTTAGTAATCGTCGTAATATGCGCCGTAGTAACAGTAGCAGTGGTGGTAGTAGTAGTAGTAGTAGTAGTAGTAGAAGTAGCAGTCGTAGTAGTAGTCGTAGCACTAGTAGTAGTAGTCGTGGTAGCCGTAGAAGTAGTAGTAGTAGTAGTAGTAGTAGTAGTAGTAGTAGTAGTAGTAGTAGTAGTACTAGTAGTAGTAGTCGTAACAGCCGTAGTCGTAGTAGTAGCAGCCGTAGTAGTAGTCGTAGACGTAGTCCTGGTAGTCGTAGGAAGGGTAGCCATAGTAGCCGTCGCAGTGGTAGTAGCAGTAGTAGCAGCACCAGTAGTAGTAGTAGTAGTAGTAGTAGTAGGAGTAGCGGTCGTTTTAGCAGTAGTAGTAGTAGTAGTAGTAGTAGTAGTAGTCGTAGTAGTCGTAGTAATAGTAGTAGTAGTAGTAGTAGTAGTAGTAGTAGTAGTAGTAGTAGTAGTAGTAGTAGTAGTAGTAGTAGTTCGACTGCTACAACCACGGATGTGATACCTACTCCTGCTACTGGTGCGACGGCGACGGCAACTAAATCGAGTACGCCTGCTAGAACAACTGCTTCGGGTTGAGACAGTGCCCTCGGGAATGCTGCAGGAGATCTCCAGCAACCTCCTGGTAGCCTACCAGGGCCCCCCAGGAAGCCTCAAGAGTCCACCAAGAGCCCCTCACTCTGGAGCCTCTTGCAAGGATCCTTGCGAATCCTGGGGGGGGCGCCCTGAAGCAGCGCCCTGAGTGAGCCTCTACGGGGCCTCTGAGGGGCCTCTGGGGGAAACTCCCACTTCAATCTAGCAGTTCAGTCAATCCCACCAGCCCCCTGCCCCTGGGCGTTGAACCTCTGCCCTAAACCCGAGGAAGAAAGAGGGAAAGAGGGGAGGAGGAGGAGGAGGAGGAGGGGAGGAGGAGGAGGAGGGGAGGCGGCGGGTGGAGGGGAGAGACGCGGGTGGAGGCGGGAGGGAGCGGGGGGAGCTGCGCCAGAACCCCGAGGGTGCCCCCCGCAAACCGCATGCTTCCTCTTCGGGGAGGGGCTGACCTCGCCCGCCGACCCCCTCCCCTGGACCTGGACGGGGGGGGGGCGGCGAAGGGTTCGAGCGCCCACGACAGCCAAAGACGGCTCGAGCAGCGCCTCCGAGGGCCCAAGATGGCCTCCAAGATGGTTCCAGGTGGCGCCCAAGCTGCTCCACGAGACCCCAAAACCATCCACGACGGCTCCAAGTGGCCACGGAGCCTCCTCAGGAGGCCGTCGAGAAATTGTGCCATGTAACCTGTTCGCGTTCGCTGGCCTCCCGCGGCCTTAACTGGCTCCAAGATAGTTAAAGAAGGCCCTACGAGCGGCCCAAGAGAGCCGTAAGATGGCCCCAAGAGCGCCCACGAGCGCCCCAAGATCGGCCAAAGTGGCGACGTTTGGAGCTCCCGAGGGGGGACCCTAATGAAGCGCGTCCCCTTCTTTGATCGACCTCCTCCGAGGTGGCCCCAAGACCAAGGCTCCCCAGAGCGCCCCAGGAGGGCCCCAAGAGGCGCACAAGAGGCCCCAAGAGGCGCCCAAGAAGACTCCAAGAGGCCCTGAAGAGACCCCAAAAAGGCCCCAAGAGGCTCCCCGAGGCACCCAAGACGCTCCAAGATGCCCCCGAGACAGCAACGAGGCACCCCAGACGCTCCAAACGGCCTCAAACAAGCGTTCAAGAGACATCCGAGAAGACTCTGAGAGGCAGCTCGCCTGGGTAGCGTTTCTGGATGGGATGGTGGAGATACGTGAAACGTCAAAAGCTTAATACCTATACGACCATCCTTCGAGTGATAAGGAGGTTCGGGGGGGAACCATCGTCTCACTCGATCGGTCGCACGATCGATCTCACTATCGATCTCACTAACGGTATCGCTCGATCGATCTCACAATCGATGTCACTCGATCGATTTCATTCGATCGATCTCACAATCGATATGACTATCGATCTCACACTCGGTCTCACTGTCGATTTCACTATCGATATCACAATCGATCTCACAATCAACGTCAGCATCACCATCATCAACATCATCGTCATCAACGTCATCAACATCATCATCACCATCAGCATCATCGGGTCTCCATCATCATGATCACCACCTCATCACCATCATCATCAAAATCATCATCATGACCATGACCATCATCATCGGGATACCATCATCGTCACCATCAACAACATCAACATCATCATCATCATCATCGGGGCACCATCATCATCATCATCAACATCGGAACACCACCATCATCATCATAATCTCAATATCATAATCATGAACAGCATCATCATCACCATCATCGGGACACCATCATCAGCATGAGCATCATCAGCATCATCATCGGGACACCATCATCATCGTCACCATCATCAGCATCACCATCACCATCATCATCATCATCATCATCATCATCATCATCATCATCGGGACACCATTATCATCATCAGCATCAGCATCATGATCATTAGCATCGGGCCACCATCATCAAAATCATCATCATCACCTCACCATCATCCTCATCATCAACATCATAATCATCATCGGGACACCATCATCGTCATCATCATAATCGTGAACATCATCGACGGGACACCATCATCATCACCATCATCGTCATCAACAACATCATCATCAACCTCATCATCACCATCATCACCGGGACACCATCATAATCATCATCATCATCATCATCATCATCATCATCATCATCTTCATCAGCATCATCAGCATCATCTCATCTCATCATCAACATCATCATGATCATCAACATCATCATTATGGGGTCTCCATCATCATTTACAGCATCAGCAACATCCACATCATCATCACCATCACCATCACCATCACCATCATCATCATCATCATCATCATCATCATCATCGGGACACAATCATCATCACCACCATGGCCATCATCACCACCATCATCATCAACATCGTCAACACTAACATCATCATCATCATCATCATCATCAACATCATCATCATCATCATCATCACCGGGACACCATCATCATAACCACAAACACCATCATCATCATCATCATCATCAACATGATCGCCATCATCATCATCATCATCGTCATCATCATCATCATCATCATCATTCATCATCATCATCATCATCATCATCATCATCATCATCATCATCATCATCATCGGGACACCGACAGGACACCGGCGGGACACCGGCGGGACACCGCGCGGCGCCGGCCCCCGGAAAAGAAACATTTGGTCCGGCCGCGCCTCAGTCGGAGGCGGGACACCGGCGGGACACCGCGCAGCACCGGCCCCCGGAGAGGAATCATTTGGTCCGGCCGCGCCTCAGCTGGAGGAGACTTCTTCTCGCCCGCCCACGCAGCTTCGCCTTGCCCGCACGCACTGCACGCACGAACACGAAACCGAAACCGATTTCCCGGTAGGGGGGCTCTCCGTTCCACTTCGATCTCACCCCCTCACCTCCGACAACGTGGCAGGGAAGAACCCGTACTACCTGGAAAGGACCCGTCTTCCGGGAAAGAGAACGTGTTCCTCGTCGAGCCCGCCTGTTCACTTCACCAGGAGTGGTCACACGTATCAGTTCTGGATGGCTGACTGAGATGAAACGAAAACATGCTCCACATCGAATGTCACTAGACGCCTCACTAACCCTTCGATGCTGATTCTGGGGACCCTCCTGCAGCCACTAGCTCCACTCGTGCGTCGAAGCTGCGTCGAACCTGAGGCGAGCCTGAGTCGAACCTGAGTCGAACCTGCGTCGAACCTGAGTCGAACCTGAGTCGAATCTGAGTCGAATCTGAATCGAAAAGGCCCGTTAGGTGGGCCCCAGGAAGGCCCCCGAAACGAACATCGAATGACCCCGTGGACATCATCAGAAAACACGGCTCGCCACACGCCGCAGCCCACGACAACACACCCGTGCTTGCGTGGTCTCGCCATCGGGGCCTTGAGTCTGCCCTCCAGTCGCTCCACGTTCGCCTGAGGTGCAGAAGAGATCACAGTAATGCAAACCGTTGCCTCAGCATGGAAACGTACACGTCGGTCGGAAGAAGTAGGTAAACATTTGAAGTAGGGAAGCGGATTAAGCTGTTTGGGTCCCGGCCCCCCAAGGGTATGACAAAACACAGCAAGAGCGTGCCGATTCTGAAAGCAGGAAGGCGCTTGAAGTAGACTGGGATCTGGGAATCCAAAAATACCCACTTTCAACGACCGGCGTGTACACATTCGAGCGTCGCCCTGAAAATACACGGGCAAACAACACACATCAGCATACACGGAGCCTGCGGCGTGCAACGCGAAGGCACCAAGTGAAAATGACTCGTCGAGTGTGTCATGCACGGCGGGAGTGGCTACTGCTACATCGGCGCAAGCGGCCACTGCATGCTGTGCGCACACAAGTGTTCGAACTGCAGTGCGCTGCGCATGCTCTCCCAATACCCGCCCGTCCAGTATTTACATCAGCAAGGGCTCCCCACTTCGCGCTTCGCGCTGCGCGAAAGCGCGAATAACTTCGCGCTCTCGCGCCGCCTCCCAGGGGGGAAGAGGAGGATGAGGAGGAATCGGAGCCGAACCGCGAAGCGCGAGTAAGTTCGCGCCCTCGAGGGCGCCCTTGATCAGGGGATCCGCTTGACGAGAAAATCAAGACGCCTGTGCAATGTGTGTTCCATGCAGCATCTGACCGCAGGCACTGCCTCGGATGCTGGACTCGCCCACACCACTTTGCCTTCGCATGCTGACGCAGAAGCGCAGAGCTGCGCAAAAGGCCTCGAGAGCACGGCGACGCACGAACTCAACGCCGAGCTGCTGCTGCAATTCACTGACTTCGCGCTGCCGCCGCATCTCGAGCTCCTGAAGATCGGATGGAAAGCAGCAATGGGAGCTGATTGTGCAGGCAATGGTGGGAATGCTCGATGCGTTGACAGTGCTAACAGCGATGTTCGCGATGCGCAGCGGCAGCAATGGTTCAAGTGGGAGCGGCAGCAATGCTTCTTTGAAGCGTGATGCTCAAACAACGTATTCGTGGGTCGAAAAGTAAGTCTAGGTCACACGCCACTTTCAACATGCAAAGCCATCGCCTGCTTCGCCTCTGATAGATTGACCAGTGTGGTCGATACTGGTGCATTTGCATGTGCATCAACCGCATTGCCAGACAGCGACTACGCTAGCTAAGCCAGGTGCTCTCGCCAGCCTCAGGCCAACCTCCTGTACCAGACAAAATAGCAAATAGCAGCCAACTGCCTGTGCTACCGATCGCTGCAGAAGAAGCCATACACCGCGCTGAAGTAGATTGTCCACACCAGCAGCAACACCTTGAGTAGAGAGAGTGTCCCCACCAACAGTAGCACAGGTAGTGGCAATATGAATACCACTACCCATGCTGTTTGCTACTCTACCTGGTAGTTACACGAATGCATATCAACCACAATTTCGGCACCTATACCAAACCCTTCACTAACCCTGCAGATCGAATCGTAATGGGTTCGCCGCCGTGGCAGTAGTACGTTGAGGCGTGGTAGAAATGGTGGCAAGCTGCCCCGAAGAGTTTTGACGGGTGACCACGTACGCCGCACCACACTGTCCAACTTCTGCCTCCCATGTTGCTCCGTGCCGTTATTCTCGGCCCGGGATCGCCTCGAGGTGGCCTGGGACCGCCCCAAAACGAGCGCAGCATGCCCACCCCATACTCGCCCGATGGGGATCTGAGACCCCTTAACTAGAGGGCGCAATGGATGCTCACAATACTCTATGATGCCCCTCTCCCCCTTGGAGATCTCCAGCAGGTCCCTGACAATGTAATACTGTCTCTATACTCGATGTACTACTCGCTTCCGGTGCATTTCGGCCGAAGGTGGCTTCGGAAACATTTCTGGAGTAGAACACAAGCTTCAAATGCCCGTCAGCACAATACGATTACGTTTGTGGGAATGCAATGCAGCAGGTGGCTAATGAAAATACCGTTGAACGAATGCTCCATTGCTGGTACAGCCGCGCGCGCATACTAAGCACGGGGGCGGGAACGAACAGGGAGCATCCGAACCTAACTGCACCCATTCACTAACTGAGGGGGGCAATAGAGACGGAGGGGGGATGGGGCAGGAGGAAGGAGACAACATGAGGAGATTCGGAAGACCAATGCTGACCGCTGGATCCTGGCAACATCATGCACAGGAGGGCACGGCAAACTACCTTATACCCCCGATGTGACGCGTCGCACTTCGCCTACGCAAAGGGACCCTACCTGATATAGGACAGGTCGCAAGGGCCAGCCTCCCGCGAGCCCTCGGGCGTCCTCGAGGGTTGCTCGAAGATGTATCGGGAATTGCTCGGGAGATATATCGCTGCATTGGTTTACGTTGCGTACGCCTGCTCAACAGTGCGTTGCGCTGCACCGTGTTGCTTCGACATGCGCGACGTGGCTCGTACTTCTTCGCGCATTCAATTGACTCGCTGTGCTGCACTGCCTAACCTTGAGATGCTTTGCGTTGCAAGGCGTTGAAATGGTGTGCGTTGCATTGCGCCGTGTGCACTGCATGTTCTGTAAATGGTATAATGCTGTACTGATGGTGTTATGCTGTTCTGAGGACCAGCAGGCTTCGCTGGCGCTGCTGGACTACACCCTGCGAAATGCTTAAGAAATCATGGGTTAAGAAATTCAGAGTCTCAGAACTTGAATAAAAACCCAACATTTCCATTAACATCGAAATATTTACATCGAAACGTTAAGAATAATCGAGACTCTGGCCGAAAACTTACGTTTTCTTAAGCATCGCCTAAGGTGTACTGCCCCTCCCATGGGACAAGGCAGCGCCGTTCCTCCAATTCGCGGCTGAACCTCAACTTCACCGCCACGGGGCGCCAAAGCCGGACGACCTGCGCCAGCAACTCCTCGCGGCGGGGGGAGGGGACGAGGGCCTGTGCCAGCGGCTCGGCCATGCTCCTTCCTCCCTTGACCTCGTCTGCGTATCATGTCCCTTTTCCCCCGCCTCCTCATGCAATCATTCACCTCGTTCCTCTTGCATCCTCGCCCATCGCCATTCACGACCCTCTCCCCCCCAACTCCTCTCCATCGCCCCCTCCTCCCTCATTTCCTCCTCCACTCCCTTCCCGAGACCGAACTCCCTCCTCCACCCCAAGACAACTCCCTCCTCATCATGTCTCGCTCAGCTCCCCTCCCCGCTCCTCCCTGTGTCTCGCTACTCCTCCTGCTCCCCGTTTCCCCCCCGCTCCCACTCGGGGATCTTCTGACCCGGGTCCATCCAGAGCCTGGTCAATCGGGCCTTGCAGGATCCTGCAAGATCCTGCACCCAAGCCTGGGTCAATGCGAGGGATCCTGCAGGATCCTGCAGGAGCCGGCACCCAAATCCGGGTCAGTGCGACACCCTGGCCCCTGCAAGATCCTGCCAAATCTGGCGCTCTGGCTGACCCCCGTCTGCATTGCCCCCCGTGTCGAGGCTCCCGCTCCCACCTCCTCCGCCTCTTCCCCGGCGCTGCAGCTCCTCCTCCTCCTCCTCTTCCTCCTCCTCCTCCTCCTCCTCCTCCAGTCCGTCAAAGCACGCTGCCGTGTCCCCCTCCAAAGACGGCGAAAGGCGAGGTGGCGGCACGCACCGCCGCAGGAAGAGCGCACGGCGGAGACGCGCGCTCGGGCGGCGTCGCGTCTGGCGCAAACACGCGGGTGCTAGGCTTGGGTCGGGCCTGTCCCCATACGGGCGGATTCTGGACGAAAACTTACAAATCAAGTCAACAAATACTTCACGAATACCCCAACAAATACTCAAAACATCGTCCCCCTACTATGTGTGACAATTGTTGAAGATTCCTCCTGTGGAAGGAGAGGCCCGACTTAATGCTAGGCGGTGGAAAACGCGTGCAGAAACAGAAGAGCTGCGCTGGGCGCGTGCGTGCGAAAAGATAACTCAGCACCACGTGGAGGTCATACAAGAGAGACTGGCACCTGGGAAAGCTGCAGTCCCAAGACGCGCACACACATGCATAGATGAACATATGTATACATGTATACACATATCGATACACAGTTGTATATGTTTATGTGTGGATTGATGTACGTACGTAGGTATAGATGCGAGCACAAGCGCGCATGCATGTATACACACATATACACACATAACTCTAAATTTACATGTATACATATATACACATATACACGTGTGTGTATGTGCTAACACGCAGTGGATGAGAATGCGGGAATGGGACAGGAGAGGGAGGAGCAGTTCATCGGCATTCTGGAGGAAGGGGGAATGGAAGGGGAAACCGAGTCAGTTTCGCTGAAACAGACCTTGGCACCAAATGGTAATTTCAACATTACCAACGGTCGTTCCACTTGATGCAGCACTCGATGAGCGCGATCCGACACCGAAACGCTGCTGAACCGAAAGAAATACATGCAAACGACTCGAACGGCAGGGCAAGGTGCGTACAGGGAGACAGCCGGTCGGATCGCCCTGGTTGAGAAATTCGGAGTGCAACGGTGGGCCGGTCTAGCCCATGATCGGTTGGGCCTCTCCCCCTCCCCTTGGGAGGGGGCAAGCCGATCATGGTCGCTGCAGGATCCTGCAAGATCCTGCGGGATCCTGCAGGGCCGTGCAGGATCCTGCACGCACCGCACGCAGGCCTGGGTCAGTGCACCCCTCGATGTGCCGGATCCTGCAAGACCCCGAGCTCGGCTGAACCCCGTTCGGGGATGGACAGAACCCCCTTTAGTAAAACGTGGTTTAGTGAAAACGACCTCGGGCCCAAACCTGACAGGCGCAAGCCTGGAAAATGACGGCCGCGGAGCCCTCTCGAGAACCGAAAACGGACAATTCACTCATCGACGTGTCAGGGTAGGAGGTCTGTCCACCCCCGACCAGTTCGCATGGACCCCCGCCTCTCACAGCTCGACCCCGGGGGCAGAGACCCGGTGGCCTTTGCACTGCGCTTGGGAGCGGCGGCGCGCTCGGGGGCCGCTCTCCTCCCGCTGCCCGCTGCGCAGGTAGTCCTCGCCGACGCGGTCGAGCATGAAGTCCCGACGTCGCCTGGCGGCTGGGAGGGGGGACGAGGTAAGGGCTCCCAACTTCGCGCTTCGCACTGCGCGGAGCGCGGATAACTTCGCGCTCTCGCGCCGCCTCCCAGGGGAGAAGGGGAGGATGAGGAGGAAGCGGAGCCGAACCGCGAATCGCGAATAACTTCGCGCCCTCGAGGGTGCCCTTGGGGAGAAGGGGCCGGGTGAGCGTGTTCTTATTCGACGGTTCGGCACTGGGCGGAAGGGGGAGGGAGGGGGGGCGTCTGGCTTCGGACCTCTGCTGAACGCGACAGTCAGCAACAGTGCGTCCCGTGGGGAGACTCCACTTGCTCGAAACAGGCGCCACGAACAGCCAATGGCTACTCCATGGGGGGGGAGGAGGGGCTGCGAGGGCCCGCGCCGATCGGCAACACAAGGGACAAGAAAACGATCACTAGTCAGTGGTGCGCGTGGACTCCTCGAGCGAGGCGCTCTGCGCCCTTCTAGACGTTGCTGCGAGGCCCATGCCACACGGCTCTACCTGTGGTGCTGTGGTGGGGCGTTGCCCTCGCCGCAGCCTGCTTCTACAGCCTCGGGCAGCAATCCGCCAGCCTTCCCACCTGATGTCGGGCCCCAGCCGCGGCGTATCGGAGACACAACCTGTGCGCGCCACGGGCTGGTCACAAAAGAGATGGGCCCCGCTCCAGGTATCGATCCTGTTCTCATCGTCCAGAGCGTCCGACTCTACAATTGTCTTCTTCGTTCTCGCTGGCGAGTCTTTGTAGTGAGCCTCAGCAGCTCACAGTCAAACTGGCAGAAGCAGCTGCCATTCTGATGCAACACTGTAGAAAGTGTAGGCAAATTTCCCCCGCGACTTCCACACCGTGCACTGGCCCCTCTGTTCCTTCTCGTTCGAATGCAAGTGACCTGGCTCACTCAGGCGCAGGCGTAGTATTGCCGAGAGAAGGTGGGCAATCCTGATCTGTCCTCGGATCAGATCCCCACTGGTTCCGAAACGGGAGCAACTATCTAGAGCCATAATGGCTACGAAAGGGAGAGGAGGAGGACGACGACTGCTATGCTGTTTCCATCGTACTTCAGGACAACGTCCAAAACATAATCCCGAGCAACTGGAACCGTATCGAAACAGTGTCTACCCGATGCGCTGGCGAAGCGTCGAACGAGTATCGCCTCCCAGGGCCCGACGCGTGAAAACCAGCGAACTTCTGCTCTCATCCGTCGCGCGGCTGCCTGAACGCCTTGTACTCCTGGCTGAGCCGCTGGAGCTCCTCGCCGGCGCAAGACGGCGTGAAGGAGGGGAGCGGAGGAGGAGGGCGGGGCATCCTGTCATCTTACGTGTATTGGAGGCCTGGAAATGGGCACCAACACCAACACAGTGGGTTGCCTCCACAGGGGGAAGATGATCCTAGATTTCGGTGGTGGTGGTAATGTGTCGGTCACCTTGGAAGCCAGAATATTACCACCGATTACCGAGATCGGGCTCTTAGTCCATCGGTGGAGGCGCACCGCCGATATTGGTGTTGGTGTCAACCTCTAGGCCTGCGAGTGAAATGTCCACACCGCCGGTGGTTACTGGAACAACCGAACATAGTGGGAAACTCGAGTGATGACTAGCTGCCAGACCACCCCAACCCAACCCGAAGACCCGAATTTCGGGTTGGGGGGGGGTACGGGTTCAACATGTGTTCTTTCGATGCTCCCCTCCCCCTCCCCCACCAGAAGTGGAGGGCACATGGAAGCCTCCGGGTTGGGCTGGGGTGGTTCGGTGGGTGGTGGAATGACTACTGATCGCGGGCTCTCAAGCGTTATGTTGCATCTTCAGGGAACCTTGTCTGTCCCGGCGCGGCCCTATCCGCGTCGAATCCGTGTCGAATCCATGTCGGGCTCGTCGGGTCCGTGTCGAATCCGTGTCGAATCCGCGGCAAATCCACGCCAAATCCGCGTCGAATCTGCATCGAGCACGCGTCGGGCGCAAGAGAGACACATTTTTGGGGGAAAGGCGAGGTCCCCCTGAGATGCAACGAAACAAGCGGTCACTCGCAGCTCATCGGAACTTCCGCCCAAAGACAGAACTGCTGATGGGGGGGGGGGGGGGGGCACTCGACTGAGAAGGCCCTGGCGTGGTCTGGGCTCCTGCGGGCCGCAGCTCTGGAGGAGGATTAGGAGGAGGAGGAGGAGGAGGAGGAGAAGGGAGAGGAGGAGAAGGAGAGGAGGAGGAGAGAGGAGGAGGAGGAGGAGGGGGAGGAGGAGGAGGAGGAGGGGAGGAGGAGGAGGAGGGAGGAGGAGGAGGAGGAGGAGAGGAGGAGGAGGAAGAGGAGGAGGAGGAGGGGGAGGGGGGGGCTTGGAGACGTATTGCTCTGGCCGCGACCGCCGGCGGCGCTAGTGCAGCTCCGCTTCCGGGCCGCGCGGACAGGATCAGCGAGGGTTGCTGCGCTGCTATTCCAAGAAAACGCGCTCCGCCTTATTCTTCCGGACCTTCCGCCCTAACCTTCCATGAGTCTCGAACAATTGTTCGAGACCTTCCGCGGAGGTCGGAAGGCATGGAAGGTGGAGGTGTGGAGCACTGACACTCCTTTCAGTGGTCGAATCATCTCCCCTGAAAGACGGCCTCAGAGGCGCCCAAGACGGCCCAGGAAGGCCCAATAGACAGCCGTCAACAAAGACCCAAGAAGAGGAACACGAACCGACAATCCGAGACTTTGGATCCAAGGAGGCCCCAAGAGGCTCCAAAGAGGCCCCCGAGAAGCTCCCAAGAGGCTCCAAAGCGGCACCCAAGACGCTTACAAACGGCCTCCAAGAGGCCCACGAGAGGCCTCCAGCGACATCCCAACGGACATCCTAGAGGCCTATGACAAACAACCCAGGCACGGTGGCTTGATGGGCCGGAGGTCATTTTTGGTTATATCTATATATAGATATGGATATCTATATATATATATATATAGAGAGAGAGAGAGAGATTCGACCCCCTGTGATCATACCTTTTTCTTCTACTCTGCTAACTCCTCGTTGTCTTCTCTCTTCTTTCTCCTCCCCCTCTCCTCCTCCTCCCCCTCTCCTTCTCCTCCTCCTCCTCCTCCTCCTCCTCCTCCTCCTCTTTGTAGCAATACTGAACCTAAACCAGACAGCGCTTGGCGTCCCCAGTGCAAGGAGAAACACAGTGTGCTTATGTTTTTGGGGTGTCCTTTGGTTTGCGGAGCCACGAAGCACTGAGTATGTTTGTATGTTATGTGTTTGTTGGTGGGTTTGCAGGCTCCAGTGCTCGCCGCGGCCTCCCTCGCAGCACGTCTCACCGAGCCTGCAAAACCAAAACAAAAAACTTGAACATGCAGTGGTTGGCGTCCTTCGTGCAAGGTAGCACTATGTATTTCTATGTTTGTGTGTTGGGGTTCGGAAGCAACGAAACACTGTGTGATTGTGGTTTTGGTTTTGCAGGCCCCAGTGCTCGCCGCGGCCTCCCTCGCAGCACTTCGCTCTGAGCCTGCAAGACCCCACAAACAAAAAACAAAGCAACATAATGATTTCTTGCATCCCAGACCCCACCAAAAAATCCAAACGACAAAGTACACAGCGTTTCCTTGAACCGATTCATGGAGGAAAGAAATAAGAGGAAGGACGGAGGAAGGACCCCATTGGTTTCGGAAAAGCTCCATGCCGAGACGTAATAATGAAAGGGAATGAGGAGTAGGGGGAGGAGGAGGAGGAGGAGGAGGAGGAGGAGTGGGAGTAGGAGGAGGAAGAGGAGGAAAAGGAGGGGAGATTTTATGGAATCAGAATCTGGCCCAAATAAGAATTCAATCGGAAAGGAGGAGGAGGAGGAGGAGCAGGGGAAGGAGGATGAGGAGGAGCTCAGCTATTGGTTTTGGAAGAAGGTCCAAACAGTAGCGAATGAAGCAGAAAGAAGAGGACTAGGAGGAGGGAGGAGGGATTCGACTGGATTTGAAAAGATCAAAACTTGGGTTCAATAAGGAAAGAAGAGGACAAGGAGAAGGAGCATCAGAGGCAGGAGGAATTGAATTGGATCTGAATGTGGCCCAAGTAAGGATTTTAAACGAAAGGAGGACGAGGAGAAGTGGAGGGGAGGGGGGATTCAATTGGATTTGCAATAAGATCCAGCTACGGCTTCAATACGAAATGAGGGGGGAGAGGATAACGAGGCATGATATGGGATGTAGGTTAGATCCACATAGGGATTCAGTAGGGGTAAGAAAGGAGAATGCAGAGGAGGAGGAGGAGGAGGAGGAGGAGGAGGAGGAGGAGGAGGAGAAGAGGGCCTTCGGGTTCGGCTGGGGTGGTCTGGTGGGTGGTGATTTCCTCCTATCTGTGGCTTGCCTCTTCGGAGGCAGGCCAGTCCATGCTTCATGCTCCTCCTCCCTCGTCCCGCCCCGCCCCCCATCCCCCCCCCCCTCGCTCGTCCCCTCCGCCTGTTGCGTCTGCTGCTCATCCTCTCCTCCGCATCCCCTGCCTCCCGAGTCGGCTACACGTAAGAGTCACCCTGGGTGAGAGTGACCCTGGGTGCGCGGCTCCTCGGGGACCTGTGCGGGAGCCAACGCGCTCGTCGGTCAGTAGGCCCGCACCAAAGGGCACGCCGGCGACGGGGTCACTCTCACGTGCACCTGGCCATCGCTCGGACGTCCATTCCCTGTGTTTTTTGTCGGTTTCGTGCGTGGTTTCACGTCCGAGCGATGCCAAGACCAAAGGGCACGCCGGCGACGGGCCACTCTCACGTGCACTCGACAGAGGCTGCTGAGAGAGGGGAGGGACCACGCCCGGGGCGTCCCCCCCCCGGGCCCGGCCCTCGGCGCCGAGGGCCGCCAGAGCTCCTGGATCGTGCAGACCAGGCCCGTCTCGCGATCGGCGGAGACCATGCCGGAGCGCTCGAGGGACTCGCGCGCAGAGGGGGGAGGAGGAGGAGGAGGAGGAGGAGGAGGAGGAGGAGGAGGAGGAGGAGGAGGAGCAGGAGCAGGAGGAGGAGGAGGAGAAGGAGGAGGAGAAGGGAGAAGGAGGGACGAGGAGGAGGAGGAGGAGGGGGGGGGGGAGGGGAGGAGGAGGAGGAGGAGGAGGAGGAGGAGGAGGAGGAGGAGGAGGAGGCGGAGGAGGGAGGAGTAGGAGGAGGAGGAGGGGGGGCCGTGCGGGCAAGGAGCGCTCAAACTGCGCAGGGGTGGGTCGAATATTCCCTGGTGCGAGGGCGCCCTGGCAGCGCTGCTCCGGCGTGATTGAAGAGTCGGCTGTCAACTGGCAGTTGGTCAGCATTCGAGAGTGCGACCCTTGGGTGCCCCGAGCATGGATGTGCTGCCGATCCAAATGCATCTGGCCTGATTTTCCACGCCCGCCCCTGACATTCAGGAATCACTTAGGCTATTGCCATCCATAAACATCGCTCTTCTGATGGTAGTGCGCAAAAAAGATATCAAAGAGGCACGAAACTCTGAGGCGGTCACGGAACCAACCCTGAACACCCGACACCCTCGCACATGTCGGGTCGGGCGAAAGGGGTGGATAACAAAGGGGGGGTTTGAGAATCAGCTCACGTAGCTGATTTTCCCGGCGCCTCCCGGCGCCGGCGGCGGCCATGTATCGAGGACTGGGCCCCTCGGTGAGGCCGAAACCAGCTGCATGCAGCAAATTTCGTAACCCCCCCTTTCCCAATCCCCCCTTTCGCCCGGCCCGAACATGGGAGACGACCGTCACCTGTCCCGCCTGGACACGACGCTTGATATTCCTCCTCCTCCTCCTCCTCCTCCTCCTCACTTGTCCTCTCGTCATCTTCAACGCAACGAGCGCGAGACCGAACAGAGATGCTGCGCCGACACGGAGACGCGTACAAAACACACAGAAATTCACAACCGTGCCCTCCTCCTCCTCCTCCTCCTCCTCCTCCTCGTTCCTCCTCCTCCTCCTCCTCCTCCCTCCTCCTTCCTCCCCCTCCTCCTCCTCCTGCCTCCCCTCCTCTCTCCTCCTCATCCTCCTCCTCCTCCTCCTCCCCCTCCTCCTCCTGCTGCTCCTCCTCCTCCTCCTCCTCCTCCCCCTGCTCCTGCTCCTGCTCCTCCTCCTCCTCCTCCTCCTCCTCCTCCCGCGTGCTTGCATTCGGCGCGAGCTCGAGGGGACACACCGGGACCACCGCCGCCCAGAGCACCGCCAGCGGGAGACGCCGATCCCTGGGCGGTGGCGCGCCTGGCGTTGCCACCGCACAGGGGTCGCCCCCGCCCCCTCTCTCCCTCGCTGGGCTCCGTGTCGGTGGCCACCACTTCTCTTGCCCTCGCCGGGAGCTCCAGTCAGGCGTGCCCCCTCTCTCCCTCGCTGGGCTCCGTGTCGGCAGCCACCATGTCTGTCTTGCCCTCGCCGGGATCTCCCTTCAGGCGTGCCCCTCTCTCCCTCGATGGGCTCCGTGTCGGTGGCCACCCTTTCTCTTGCCCTCGCCCCGACCTCCATACAGGCGTGCCACCGCACAGGGCCCTCCCCCTCCTCTCTCCCTCGATGGGCTCTGTGTCGGTGGTTGCCATTTCTCTTGCCCTCGATCGGACCTCAACTCCCCGTGCATGTTCGGTTTCGCGAGTGCTTTCGTTGGCGAGAGGTCAAGAATGCTCTGAGGCGGTCCACATGTTCTGATGCCGCCCTCGCTGGGAAAATGTACACGTTGGAGCGATGCCGAGCTCTTCTGTGTTCTGCGCAGCTGCTGCCGCGGCCTGCGACTGGCGAGGTGACGGTTGTGTTGTGGCGGCCCTCCTTGCCCTGATGTCTCGGCGCACGCCCATTCAGATGGATGGGGAGCCTTTTTCTTGCACGCTTGCATCAGGGACGAAGCATCGCCTCAAAGGCCTCACGGTGAGATAAGCGATCTGCCTATGTCCTGAAATATCCGGTGCGAACAGCCTTCGGCATATGAGTGTGGAGCGCCTTTCTCACTGAAGACCAGGCACCGCCACGAGCCTTCGCCACCACGACATTATGTGGGACCTGGTGCAATGCAACAAAGGAGGCCTGTACGGCACACGATATAAACACAGGCGCCGCGAAGCGCCTGGAAATCCCCAGTCTCAGGCTGCAATCAAGATGACTCAAATACCGCCTCGAGCCCCTCGAGGCCCTCACGAGAACCCCCCTATCGTCTATAGATGGCCCAAAGAAGCGATGTTTCAGGCTCCGACAAGGCATTGCGCCGATCTAACGAACACACACACACACCTGTTTGATCGACTCTCTCCCGGATGGCCCCAGGACGGTCTCGAAGTGCCTCAAGAAATCCCCGACTGGCCCACAAACTAATCACACAGGCGCCCCACCAGAGCCCCAAGACGCCCCCAAGAAGCGCTCTGGTGTTCAGGTTGGCAATTGCCCTTGGCTGCGCAGGCTGATTTCAGCTTCGACTTGGCCATCCCGCGGGAGTTTTGAAACAACCTGCACGGTTGACGGTTGACTCCTAGATGTCCTCGGTCGGATTCCCGCTTCACTTTGACGGCTGCCCCTGTTTCTGTGCCACTGGATTCCCTTTCACTTTCATGCTCACAACAACTGGCATAAGACTCTGTTTGGGCCATTGGGGGTACGCAAAACGTCAAAAATCATACGTTGCGCCTGCACCGTGACAGGGCATTGCGACGGGCAGCTGGAAGAAAGGGAAGCGATGGAGTGGAGCCCCCCCCTGCCTTCTCCATCACCCCACCTCCCGACACTCTCCTCCTCCATCCAGACTGCTCGCCCCCAGAGAAGACTCATCGTCTCGACCCCAAACTCAATACGCTCATGGACTCTCGGACACTCCAACAGCAACCTGAGGCAAGCTGCGATGGGGGGTTCGCCCAATGCCGAATAAAAACCCTGAACTTGTTCGTCACTGACGCAGAAGGAAGCCGTGTAGGCACCCCAACCACAACAAAAGACATCCGCACCTAAGTGCATGATTACACGAGTTGGGTGTTGAGGCGTCGAGCAGTGCGTGCGCATCTGCTGGCACGGACGGAAACACATACCATGGCGCATTGGGCGTCCGCATCTACATGCCAACTGATTGTGCTGATGCGCGGTGCGGAACACGTAGGCGTACGCACCCAGCGCGCATTCACAATGCTGGGGCCTGCTTGAGGCGGGCGACTTCGTCCTTGGCCTGGGTGAGCTTCTGGCGCCATCGAAGCTCCGCCTGCTCTGACGGGCTTCCACTGCGACTGTCATCTGGGACATGTGCTGGCAAGAGGGCGGGAAAGAGATGGAGGAGGCGGCGGCGATGGCTTGCGGCATGTGGGGACGGCAACGACGAGTTTGAGCTCACCTCATCGACGTTGGAAATGAAAGAACCGAAATCAAAGTCCTGCCCTTCGCTGAGGAGGCGCCACTTGTGAGACGACGTTGGGCCCACGGAAACCAGCGTAAGGACTATATCTCGCCGCCGCTCGCACGTCCATTTCCTGTGCATGTTCGATTTGGTTTGTGTTTTCCCTTCTCGCAAGATGATCCAATACTATCCACGATGGTCCTCGCCGAGGAAAGAAACCAAACGCCCGAGCGATGGCAAGATATGACCACAAGTTGCGTGTCAATCACGAAAGCACGCGTGCGAGGTCTGGAAGTCGGGGGGGCCTCCGAAGCCCGTCGTCGGCGCCCCGCACAAACGTCGAGCCAGACGCGAATCGAAGAGGACGGGCAGCAGAACTCGCCATCGCTCGGACTTTCATTCCCTTCCATTGCTCGATTTTCGCAAGTGTATTTTTCGCAGTATGACCAAACATGCTCCTCGATGGCCCTCGCCGAGAAACAGTGCCCACGTCCGAGCGATGCCCAGAGAAGGAGGGGAGCCTGAACTTGGACTACAAACAACTCACAAATCCATACACAGAACTGTGGCAAATTCGTGTCGTGCCGACTTCAGCGTCGGCGTCTGACACCGCAACCTGGAACGATCCGGCGGTTCCGAAACGTCGGCTCGTTCAGCATCGACCGATTCTGGGTCACTGGCGGTGTTCAACTCGCCGCCGGTCGAAACGACGCCATAGGGGGGACGGACGGGAGCTATGGGCGCGTGTTGTCGGATGGGGGTCCCCGCTCGAACGGGAGCCTCCCCAGGGGTCCGACAACCCGCACCCAAGACCATGGCCAGTCCTCGTCCCTCCGACCTCCCTATGGGTATGGCTGTGTGTTGTTTTTTCGTCATTTGATGAGGGGACTGATGACAGTGGAGAGGAGAAGCTCGAGCAGGCAGAGCAGGAGAAGGAGCCGGATCGGCATCGGGGCAATACAGTACGAATCGCAAACGCAACATAGCGTAAATCAATCTCTACCCGTGGCTGGACCGTTTGGTCGACTCGTCCGCAGATTGGCCAACAGGGCATGGTGCGACGGACGCTCTGCAGGAAAGCTTTTTGCGAGGGCGAGGCATGCCGACGTTCAACTCGTGAAGATGAAAAGCCTTCTGAGCAGGACCATCAGGAGGAGGAGGAGGAGGAGGAGGTCCAGGATTGAGAGAGGCAGCGCACGCGACGACGAAGCACAACGACGAATCGCGAGCCCGTTGGGCAGCATGAGCGCTATAAGACTCCTCTCGCGCACGTGGCCCGGGTAAACATGTGTGCGTCCAGTCTCCGCGCGCGCGAGGGCGGCCCCCCGGGGCTCTCTGTCGGTCGCGCCGGGGCCCGAGGCGGGGCCAACGCCCCCCAGGAGTCCCACAAAGGGAGCGGATCGAAGCGTGCCAGGCTACCTGCATGCTGGCCCCAGGGTTGCCAGACACTGGCTTCAAGATGGTGCCACCAGCGGCCCCAGGTCCCAGACAGGCAACTGGACTTCACAGACGGCCCAGGATGGCAGAACACCCTCCGTCGGATGCGCCTGAGAGGGGCCACACTCACAGGAATAATTGTGCGTGTGCTCGATCAGGTTCGCCCTCCTGCACGTGATGGTTTCGCTGGGCTTCTCGGGTGGTTTTACTAGGCTTCTAGGGCCCCGAGGTGGTCCCAAGAGGTCCCCATCAGAGCCCTGATGGGGGACCCAGCAGTGATCAAGAAGGACGAAAATCGGCCCGAACAGATAGCTCAATATGGTTTCAAGTATGGCTCAAGGCAAGCCCCCCAAGACAACTTCAGGAGCCCCCAGAAAGTTCCTGAGAGGCCCATGTTCGCCCCCCGAATCATCCACGTCCCCCAAGATCTGCAAGCTCCTCGGAAGAGCAAACTCAAGTCTCCGAGAACAGGGGAGGGAAATTGCTGGTCGCACCCGTGCCCACGCAACTACATACAAGAACCCTGAGCTCACTGCGCGTTGTCCTGTGATGTTGTGGTGTTCCTGTCTCGGACTCAGCGGCCCCCTGTGGTAGCCACTGGAACGCCGAAGAGGAGCACCGAGAAGGCACCATAATGACTCAGGACAGGGCTGGGCCTAAACGCTGTTTTTCGTTGTGTTCGTTTTGTGGTCCGTTTTGTTCCACCTGCGTTCCTGTACCTCCCTGCGAGAAGGAAAACCAGCACAGCCAAAGTCCAGCAAAACAGCGTTTAGGTCCAACCTTGCCAGCAAGGGCCCCCGACTTCGCGCCTCGCGCTGCGCGAAGCATGGGGTGCGACTGACTTCGCTCTCCCGCGCCGCCTCCCAGGGGAGAACAGGAGCACGAGGAGAAATCCGAGCCGAACCGCGAAGCGCGAAAAATTTCGCGCCCTCAAGGGCGCCCTTGTTTAGGTCCAGCCCTGCCAAACTGACTCTCGAGGGCCCGGGGAGAGCGCGGGAGCGGCCCGACGGCGGAGACCAGTGGGAGGCAGGCGGCAGGCGCCGAGATTCAGGCCAGGCCTGCCCCCCCAAAGGGGGATCTTGGCCGAAAAGTGACAATTACTCACTGCGTGGAGCTCCCCATGGGTGCATATCATATGCCATTCTATGCCGTAGTAGGCGTCTGTTCATGAGTGTATGACTATAAGATCGCGCCTTTGGGCGCCAGGGCCGACGAAGACGCGTGAATCCTCGTGCGAGCGAGCGAATGCGAGGCATACTGATATTCGCGCATGTTTGGATATGAGCCTCTTCCTCCGTGCTCCCCCTCCTCTGCTGCCAGGCCGCGCCCTCCTCCGCCCGCGGTGGCTTCGGAGCTCCTCGCGCGCGCATCTGTTCTAGGATAGTTGGCAGTGGGATCTGCAAACGAGCGTTTAGCCACATAAGGCCAGATGTGCACAACATGTTGTAGGATAGTGCCACGGCGAGCACACACGCGCGCAGCGCGGCTGCACATCCACCGCGCGCACGCATTCATTCACATGCAAATGCCCGCGCATCTTTTTTTTTGCCCAGGCAAAGAACTCCTTCGGCGCCGCGTCCAGAGCACCAGGGGGAGTACGAATGACAAGTGGCTCAAACGCCACCTCGCGACCTGCGCCTCAGCATCAACCGCCCGCACTTCGCATCGGGCCTAGCTGGCAACGCAAACAGAAGTCGCAGGTACATGACGTGCACAAGGCAAGTGCTACAAGTGGCACCCTCGCGGTTTGCGCATCGGCTTCGGCCGTCCGCACTGGGCATCGGGCCTAGCCGGCAACGCAAAAAGAAGCCTTCTGCACTTGGCATCGGGGCGAAGGAACAGAGGCGCGAGGCGAATCGCTACGTCTGTGTCCTCATGTCTGCCAGCTGCGCCGTGTCGGACTCTTGGTCGGCCCCCTCCGCGATGTCCCGCGCGTCGCCCAGCGCCCCGTTGACGCCGTCGCCTTCGTTCCCAGCCGCGCTGGAAGAAGAGCCGTGCCCTTCCGGCACCTTGGATACGGTTGTCGATCGCCCCGTAAACGGCGCCGTCATCCAGCAATTGAGATGCGACCGCCTGTCTCCGTGCGCGACAGGCCCAACTCCGTCGCTGCGAAGGTGCCCACATCTATGCAACTTGCTCCGACAGTCGAAGCTCCGCCCACGGAAGCCAGCCATGCCGGAAGGCTGTCGAACGCCCGAACAAAACGCGCGCCTCCGCTGACAGCGGCAGCGCTTGCCCCCGAGGACGTCGCAGTGGTCGAGCCTTGATTTGCACGCCCTGGCGCCGTTCCTAAAGCAATTCGCAAGAAGACCTGTCGAATGTCGGCGGAACCGCGACCGGCGTCTTGGAGACCTCGCTGCCGCCCCCCCGTCCGCGGCGCCGCGCCAGGCACGGGCGTTTTCGACTGAAGAAATGAAACTGGGTTCAGCGAATATAAAGATGCCGGGCCCGATGGGCGACCTCCGCGTCGAGCCGGGACTGCGCCAAGGATGATTCCTACCGGACTACGATTCGACGGGATAAAAATGCTCGATGCGTTTCAGAGGCCAAGAGTTCTCGCGCAGCCGCGCCCAAAGCACCTCAGGAGCAGCGCTAAAGCCAATTCTACTAATGGCACCCTTGCGATTGGCGCCTTGGCTCTGGCCGCCCGGGCTTCGAAACTCGGCGGGTGCTCTCGAAATTCAACGCCCGCGCAGACAAACATACGTTTGCACTGGGCGTCGGGCTTTGCAGTGCGAGGCAAACGGCAGAAAGATCTGGGCAACAAATGCCGTCCGCGCTGGGCATCGGGCCGGAAGGAGCACGGGCCGTCACTCTTCCTCAGGCAGCGGTACCCCGTACTCCCCAGCAAGCAGGGCGGCCCTCGCCACCGTCGAATCCTCAGACGACGCGAAGCGTCAAAGAGCGCGTTTCGCTGACGCTGGCGGACCTCTCTCCAAGAGCCAGCGAGGCGGCGGCCACGCCAGCAACATGTCCGCCATCCGAGTGGCGCGGGAGAACATCACGTAGAGGTTCAACCACCAAGTGTCATCGTTGATGCCTCGCCGCCCCTGAGACACCTGGCGCGCACAGTCAATGGTCGCTGCAGCGCGTACCGCCTGCCCTTGCGAGGCTGTCGTCGTCAGGCAGTGCGCGTGCGAGAACATGAAACCAAACCGCCTCACGCTGTGCGCCACGGACGAAGCCTCCCATGTGAAGGTTGTCTCCATCAGGGGCATACAGAAGAGGCCGCGTGCAATCTTCTCTTCTTTGCCTACGTAATCCATGAAATATTTCCACGTGGGCGCCTCCGTGAAATCGTCGACCTGCATCCAGATGCCAGTGGGCGAGCGGCGCGGCCTGAAGAGCTCGCCAGGGCTCGCGCTGTTGTAGTTTACCTGGTCGTCCTCGTGGAACACAAAGTCGACGATCGTGGCCCGTTGCTCGTGGACCAAGCCATAGTCGCCATTGAACTAGCCAGCGAAACGAACCCGCATCCCCACGCGGGCGGGCAGCACCCCGTGCATGCGGCCCGTGCTGTACATGCTGGCGACGTTCAGCATTTTGCTGTATGTCTCCCTATCTTTGCTGGTCTGGCACTCGTCGGCAGCCTGCAGGAAAACCAAAGGCACCTCGAGCGCACCGGCGTCGCGCCGCGTTAGGCGTGCTGAAACCAGCGCCCCGCCTGAGACATCCTCACAATCTGTTCTGAAAGCACAAGATGCTGAGCACCGAAACAGGCAAACCGCCTGAGACATCCCCACAATCTGGCCGCGAACGGGCTGGTGAAAACACCCGTGGCGACTCCCCTTAGGGGTGCTGAAACCAGCGCCCCGCCTGAGACATCCTCACAATCTGCTCTCCAAGCGAACGATGTTGAGCACCGAAACACGCAAACCGCCTGAGACGTCCCCACAAAATGGCCGCGAACGGGCCCGTGCAAACACCCCTGGCCGCTCCTCTTATGGGTGCTGAAACCAGCGCCCCGCCTGAGACAACCTCACAATATGCTCTCCAAACGAAAGATGCTGCGCATCGAAACAGGCAAACCGCCCGAGACGTCCCCACAAAATGGCCGCGAACGGGCCCGTGCAAACACCCCTGGCCGCTCCCCTTATGGGTGCTGAAACCAGCGCCCCGCCTGAGACATCCTCACAATCTGCTCTCCAAGCGAAGGATGTAAAGCATCGGAACAAGCAAACCGCCTGAGACATCCCCACAAAACGGCCGCGCACGGGCTGGTGAAAACACCCCTGCCGGCTCCCTTCAGGGGTGAAACCTGCGTCCCGCCTGAGAAATCCTCCAAATCTGATGTGTGTTGAGTAAGTCAGACTATGAGAAGGTCTCAGTATGAGTAGGTCTGGGTATGAGTACATGTGTGTATGAGTACGTATGGGTATGAGTAAGTCTGAGAATGAGTAAGTCTGTGTATGAGTGAGTCTGTGTAGGTGTACGGCTGGGTATGAGTCTGAATATGGAGAAGTCTGTGTCTGAGTAAGTATGTGTATGTGTGCGTCTGGGTATGAGTAAGTATGGGTATGAGTAGGTCTCAGTATGAGTAAGTCTGTGTGTGAGTAAGTCTGAGCATGAGTAAGTCTGAGTATGAGTGAGTCCGAGTAGGAGGAGACGAGAAGAGGAGGGGACGAGAAGAGGAGGGAGAAGGAGGAGTAGGAGGCGTCCAAGTAATAACAAGAACCCCATCTTAAGATATGGGGAAATAGTCAAGCCATACCCCAAACATATTCAGAAATGGTCAACAAATAGTCCCGTGACGATTTTTTGCATATTTTTGAAGATTCCCCCTGTAGAGGGACAGGCCCGACTTGAGCCAAGATGGTTCCAGCAGGGGGCCTCAAGATGATCACGAGGTCTCCCAAAGCTAGGGCTCCCAACTTCGCGTTTCGCGCTCCGCGAAACGCGAATCACTCCGCGCTTTCGCGCCGCCCCCCCAAAGGGAGAAGAGGAGGACGAGGAGGAGGGGGAGGAACGAGGAGGACGAGGAGGAACAAGGACGAGGAGGAGCGAGGACGAGGGAGAAGGAGGAACGAGGACGAGGAGGAAGGAGGAGGGAGAAAAGGAGGACGAGGAGGAACGAGGACCGCGATGCGCGAGGCGCGAATAACTTCGCGCCCTCGAGGGCGCCGCTGCCCAAGGACACCTGCAGGTGTCACGGCCCGGGCCGATACGACCCCCAGAAGGCCCCTGGAAACTCCTTGGGAGGTCCCGAGGGTGCCTCCAGGAGCGTCCAGGCGTCCCCCAAGATGATCCCGAGGTCTCCTCCTCCTCCTCCTCCTCCTGCTCCTCCTCCTCCCCGTCCCCCTCCTCGCCCTCCCCTCCTCGGGTCGCCTACCAAGGACACCTACGACCCGATCCGATACGACCCCCAGAGGGCCCCAGGAAACTCCTTGGGAGGTCCCGACGATGCCTCCAGAAGCGTGCAGGCGGCCCACAATATGCTCCGAGTCCACGTGGGGCTTGTGGGCTGCATTCTCGTGCTTCTGGGCCTCTGGAGAGGTGTGGGCGAGGGCGCGATCCCTCGAGTGTTGCACGCAGTGCAGCGAGGTACTGCGTCTCCCTGACATGAGCATCACACGACAAGCCAGGAAAACCGCCACAAAAAGCACGCAAGCAACACGACGCCAGGACGATGCAATATTGGTCGGCGGAATACGCGGAGCGGTCGAATTACGGGAGGGCGAAATCTCCACCCCGAACCCAATCATGCCAGGTGCTACCATTCGGAGTGGAGGTGAACAATTTCAGCCGCTGCGTGAGCAAGCTGGCCAACAACTGGGGAGCGACAGGTCCGACTCGGTGGCAAGTCACCCGAGCCTCCCATACCATCTCGTCGGCCGTTGCGGATCGATGCTCATCGACGCGAAATCAACACCAATCGACGCATATACTCGAGGCGAATCTACGATCACCGACGCTGCATCGGGGCTCTCTCATCGACTCCCAGACGCCAATCGACGCTAGTCGACAGAATTACAAGGGTGCACCAGGCTCCCATGATTGACTACCTACCAGACCACCCCAACCCAACCCGAAGACCCGAATTTCGGGTTGGGGGGGTACAGGCTTCATATGTGTTTTTCTATGTTCCCCGACCCCCCCCCAACTGGAAATGGAGGGCAAATCGGAGCCTTCGGGTTGGGTTGGGGTGGTTCGGTTGGTGGCGAATGATCTGCTACCGAAGGTCGCACTGGAAGAAGAAACGCCACAAACAGAAACTTGTGGCGCTGCGCGCGGATTTCTCCGATCCGCGCTGGACCCCCCCCCCTGGCGCGCGGAGCGCGCCGAGGGCGACGCCGGAGGCGCCGCCGGGGGGGGGGCCCAACGCGGAGCCAAGACTGAAGGGGCCCTGGGACACACAAATAAATACACACAAATAAAAACATTCCGCATATGTTTCCATATTTTCTGGGTGTTTGTCTTCCCCCCCACTTCCCATATTTTCCCATATTTTCTGGGGAATCGACGATTAATTGTGTCTGTGTGTGTTTTTTTCCCTCCTGACAAAAATCTGTGCCGATGGCGTCCCTTCTCCGACGGAGGTCCCAGCACCTCACCGTGTCGACCGACGGCCCGGACGTCCACCCTTCGGTCGGGCATGTCCCCCTGCTGGCAGATTTTGGACGATTTGTTTTTGTTGTTGTGTTTTGTTTTTGATTGTTTTTTATGTATAAAAGAGTCAACCAATACTCCCAAGTGGCCACAAATCAAGAATCACCAAATCGTCCCCAGACCATGTTTCAAGCTATGGTTGCACCTTCTGTAGATCGTCAGACCCGGCTTAAGTCCACCCCTCCAGAGGCGCTCTCCCTGGGGGTGGCCTTTCTCTGAGCAGGGACCGACCGTCCCGGCATTACTACAGTCCCACCACGACATGTTCTTAGAACCCCATAATGTTCTAAGAACAAGAACAATGTTCTCAGAACATGATGTGATAGCACAAACCCGACGTGATAACACGAACATCTCGTGGAAACCACAGAAAAAGGTTCTCGGAACATGGTCTGGTAGGGCTATAGGCGAGCCAAGACGCTTCGCGACTGCTTGAGACTCGAGTCCACCCCTCTGGAGGCGCTCTCCCTGCGGGTGGCCGTCCTGCCGCCGCCGCCTCCCCCCCGGGGGGCGCCCGCCGTCTCGAGCATGTCGATCTTCTCCTGCGGGCCGGCGGCGGGGGCCGGGCCGCGCGCGGGGAGCCCAGGCCCCTCCTCTGGGGAAGCGGCCGTGGCCAACCAGCCTCAAACGTATCCTTATCCGTAAGATGTGCGAGCAAAAAGCGAGGACAATCTTAGGGATAGGCCCTCAAAATCTGAGGGAATCCTTTAGATCGGCATCGAGGTGAGGTGATGTCAAACATAGGGATAGGGATATGCTTCAAACTGGTAAGTGGCGGGCACCAGGAGTCCCAGACCTCCTCGAGGTATGAAACAAGCACGACGACGGGAGGTTTTGCGGGCACCAGGGATCCCAGACCCCCTCGAAGCCTCAGAAAAGAGAACACGACGGAAGGTTCTGCCTAAATCTGGGGCCTCCAGGGGCGCTCCCCGGGCCTCGGGACGGGATGAAGACCCAGTCCCGGGAGTGGGTCGAGACCTCCAGAGTCAACGTTATGAAGAAGTCATGCCGTCGGCGGTCTGCAATTGGGCCACGGGAAGCAAGGGACAACCAACAGAGAAGCCCTAACCCTTTGGGGGGGGACCTCAGTTCGGAGAGCCAAAAACAGAAGGGATATAATGATTGTCCTGCATATGTACCGAACCAAGCCGACCTAATGTGTGTTATCCCAAATGCAAAGACAGGGGCATCAACGAGGTCGCGCCTTCATAATGTTTTTAGGGTTAAGGGTTCTCGTGTTCCCGATGGAGCAATGATCCCTGGATCTTGAGCAGGATGCCACCACGGGAGGGGGGGGCAACCAGAGGAGATCGAGGGCTTCGGCGCTTCAGTCCCCCCCCTCCCTCCCCCGCCCACGTTCCCCGCCCCCGCCTGCGCCTCCCAAGATCACGACGCGGCCTAGCCCCCCCCCCCCCCCCAATCAGCCTCTCTCCCTACCCCTCCCCATACATCATGTCCTCCTCGCCCCTCCCCGCGCCCCCGCATGCCCCCATCCCCCCTTTTTGAAAGGAAGGGCGCGCGGGCAACCCAGGTCGAATGGAGAGCAGGGGGGTCAGACATGAAAAGGGCAGCGAGCTGACACACTGCCTGCTCCCGCCACAGCCACCTCCCTCCTCCTCTCTCTCTGTCTCGTTATCTCTCTATCTCCATCTCGTTCTCTCTCGAGTCATCTCTCTCTCTCTCTCGCTCCCTCTATATCGTTATGTTCCCCGTCTTTTCTCTCTCTCTCTCTCTGTTCCTCTCTCTCTCTCTCTCGGTCCCTGTCTCACCCTTTCTCTCTCTCTCTCTCTCTCGCTCTCTCTCTCTCTCTCTCGCTTGTTTGTTTTTTTCTCCTTCTCTCTCTCTCTCTCTGGGTCGCATCTGTTGTGTTCATGTTTAGCGTTGCCTCGCGTCCACTACCTATATCCATATCATTGGTTGTGCGATTGACATAGGTTTTATATGAATATGCATATGTATCTGTATATATATGGCGGGTTCTCGTTTGTTCTGTTACCGGCCTCTTGACCCCCATCTCCCCCCGGCACCGGGGGCGACCCCAGCAAGGCCATCCTGACCACAAACTGAAGATGTTCTTTACGGCGCTGGTTCTCAAAAAGCAAGCTCTCGCCTGAGACATCCTAAGAAAAATAAGATGTCGGAGATCGGGCGTCGGACATCCAACATGGTGTGGAGGAGCGTTTCGCGTGAGACATCCTCAACAAAACTTGTTTTGAGGGAGGAATGTCTTATGGCGTGTCGCCTGAGACATCCTCACAATAAGGGGATGCTACGGGAGTTATCTTACGGTGTTGGTTCTTTAGATTGAAGCTTTCGCCTGAGACATCCTCAGAAACATGAAATGTGGGAGATCGGGCGTCGGATATCCACCATGGTGTCGGGAAGCGTTTCGCCTGAGACATCCTCAAAAGATAGGGGCGCTTGATGAATTGTATTACGGCGTTGGTTCTCAAAATTGAAGCTTTCGCCTGAGATATCCTCAGAAACATGAGATGCTGAAGATCGGGCGTCGGATATCCAACATGGTGTGGAGGGGCGCATCGCCTGAGACATCCTCACAATACGGGGATGTCAGGGGAGTTGTCTTATCGCGCTGATTATTTAAATTAAAGCTTTCGCCTGAGACATCCTCAGAAACATGATATATTGGAGATCGGGCGTCGGATATCCATTATGATGTGGAGGAGCGCATCGCATGAGACATCCTCACAATATAGGGATGTTGGAGGAGTTGTTGCGCGACGTTGGTTCTCAAAAAGAAAGCTTTCGCCTGAGGCATCGTCGGAAAAATACCATGCTGGAGTTCGGAGGCCGGTTATCCGACATGGCCTCGACAAACGTTTCGCCTGAGACATCCTGACAAAATGGGGATGGTGTAAGATCTATGTTGCGACGTTGGTTCTCAGAAAGAAAGATTTCGCCTGAGACATCCTCAGAGAAATCAGATGTCGGAGATCGGGCGTCGGATATCCATTATGATGTGGGGGAGCGTGTCGCCTGAGACATCCTCATAATAAGGGGATGTCGGGGGAATTGTCTGACGGCGTTGGTTCTCTAAATTGAAGCTTTCGCCTGAGACATCCTCAGAAATTTGAAATGTGGGAGATCGGGCGTCGGATATCCACCATGGTGTCGGGAAGCGTTTCGCCTGAGACATCCTCACAATATGGGGATGTTGAAAGCATTGGTTTACTGCGCTGTGCTCAAAGACAAAACTTTCGCCTGCGACATCCTGAAAAAATCATATTTTAGAGATCGGGCGTCGGATATCCATTATGATGTGGAGGAGCGCATCGCCTGAGACATCCTCACAATATGGGGATGTTGGAGGAGTTGTTGCGCGACGTTGGTTCTCAAAAAGAAAGCTTTCACGTGAGGCATCGTCGGACAAAATACCATGCTGGAGATCGGGTGCCGGTTTTCCGATATGGCCTCGACAAGCGTTTCGCCTCAGACATCCTGACAAAAAAGGGGATGTTGTAGGAGCTCTGTTGCGACGTTGGTTCTCAAAAAGAAAGCCTTCGCCTGAGACATCCTCAGAACAAATGAAGCGTCGGATATCGGGCAACGGATATCCAACATGGCGTGATTTGCGCCTCCGCCGGACAACGGCCATCCCCGCGGGGATCAGGACAACCCGCCTGGACCGGCCAACCTCCGGACAAGCCTCCCCATGGTTGTCCCCATGTCACCATGGGACGCGATCCTCCTCAGCTCATGGTCCCGCGGGGGGGAGAGGAGACGGGGAGGGAGGAAGCACGTGATAATGTGACGGAAAAGCAACGCACCAACGACAAACAACACATTGTTTTTGTCGGCTGCGTGCCAAAAAACGTCAGATGGCAGCCTCAAAATGGCGAGCACTAGCACAGGAGGCGACTACACATAGTCAGCAGGGAAGAAGGAGGGGGGAGAGGGTGAACGAAGGGGGGGGGGGTCGAGCGAGGTCCCTGGATTATTATTTCGGTGGCGTCTTGATGACCGTGCTCTCCCGGGGGTGGCCCTGGGACGCGGGTGAAGGAAGGCAAAAGCGTGCATTCGCGCGCATGCACATGCGATGGCACTCGGCCGGGCCACGTCGCTCCGCAACCCCATGCGAAAGACGCCCGGCTCGTGCCGCAGAGAGACGCCCGCTAAGAAATTTAAGAGCTAGAGGAGGACGAGGAAGAAGAGGAGGAAGACACAAAGCGACGCAACTTCTTAGTCGCGCGCTTTCTCTTCTGGCGGGAACTATCGAACGCGTGGCGGCGCTTGTGCTTTACAACCCGCTTGGTGAAGGGCGCCCTGCGCCCGCTCAAATTCTTGTCGGCAAGGCGGGTCCCCCGTAGAACTCTCAGCCACGAGCCTAGCTTGGCCTCCAATTCCTCTGGCTTTTTCAGCCTGTAATATCACTGCCACGCCCCGGCCCCCGGAGCGTCATCATCTGCGTCTGCGGCGCCCTTGGGGGCCAACGTGGGGACGCATGAGGAAACCACTGGCCCGTTCACGAAGCCGTGGCGTCGAACCGTGGGGACGTTGGGCACCCGCTTGGAGCTCCAATGGTACGTAGAACGCACGCCCATGGCTTTAGCCCGAGGGAGTTGGAGCAGAAAACTGCTTCGGGCAACGTGGCTTTCGGGGGAGGCTCCCAATCGATGAAGACGCACGCCGGCGAATGTGCGTTCTGTGCCTTGGCCAGGGCCGCCCGCTTGTTCATCACTGCCACGTAGTCCTTGCACTCGGCGATGACCCGCACTTTGGCCTCCTGCTCCTTCCAAGATCGCATTTTGCCGAAGTGGCCATCGCACGGCCCTTTGCCGTGGCCCTCTGGGAAGAAATGGGCACGCGCTAGCTCCAAATGTGCGTGCCGGGACGGCAGGTCGTGCAGGAGATAGCCCAGGAACCGCGTCGAGCGGAAATCGGGGCCGCAGTCACCCCACTACACGACCGATTTGAACGATGGCAAGCCCACGCGCCTGAGGACATCCTCCAGACACGAAATGGCGAACAACGACGACTGCTCTTTTACCTCTGAGGCGTAGGTGAAATAAGAGCGCTCCCAGGTCCGCGCCCACGCCACAAACGTGAGTACCGTGACTCCCTGCACCCCGCCTGCGTAAACAAAGAACTCGCCGATCTCTCGCGGCCCAACGGGCAGCTGGTCGTGCTCTTTGTAGTCGCAGTGCACGTAGAGAGTGTCGGGCTCTGGGTTGTCCCAGTGGGTCGTGTAGGCGTCCTTGCATTCGTCCCGCTGCGTGAAGTGCAGATCGAAACTGCGGCAGACATCCACAAGTCCAACCTTTTCTTTGATTGGCGGCCAATTCGTCTTGAGCTCATGGATCAGACGTGACTCCACTGCATGGAGCTGGCCATGAAGCTTTGGTGGGACCTGGGCATCGGGTCCGCGCCCATCCCGCTCTGCCAGCAGATGCGCAAGCAACGCATCCATGCACTTCGCGCTAACTGCAAATTTGTGCCCGTCATCGACCGCGGCGCCTGCAACTTCGGCGCCCCACCGGTCCCAGTACGACGGCAGGAGGCTCGCGAGCTCGCCCCGCGCCTTGCTGACCCAAGTCTTCACGGCAGGGGCGACGACGCTATCGAAGGTCACGCATTTGAGGCACATGTCCAACTGCCGCGTCGCACATCGAACGTCATGGTTGTCTAACTTGGCATTCCGGTAGAAGGTGGAGCAAGCGACGTCGCAAGGGGCCTCTTGCCATAACTGGTGCCGGCTGTTGGCGAGAGCACGCTTTACGCAAGGCTCGGACTCCGCAGCCTGGTCACTCGACAGGGGGCGCTTCTTCGGCGTCGCGTAGTCGCACGTGGGGGCGCTGTTGTCCAATAAGTATTTCCGCATATTCTCTGGTGCCCACTTTCGGAAGCCTCGTCTGCCGTTGGCCCTCGACCGGTGCTTCGCGCTCGGAAGGTTGTCATCCCGGACGCCAGCGCTTGCTGACCAAGGTCTCCGTGGGATGCCGACGCCAAGCCAAGTACTCGCAGCGCCTCTGTCCGCGCCTGAAGACCGGGCGCAAAAGCACAGCAGGAGAACGAGAAACCGCACGTGACTGTACTGCTCGAGGACTACCTGCGCCATCTTACGCCCGAAGAGGCCGAAAAACTGCTGCTGCTGCGCGTCGGCGCACCCACCTCCTGCGCAGAGCTTCCTTGACCTGTGGGGTAAGAGTGGCGTCCAGAGCAGCCGCCGCCTCCTCGGGATCCTGCGAGCCAGCAGCGGCGTCCAGCGCCTCCCACAAGCGCTTCATGCGCCTGCGGCGGGCGGTGATCTTGCTCCACGGCGCGCCCGGCGCCTGTCGCGGGGGGGGCGCATCCAGGAACCCTCCAGAGAGGCCCCCGTGGGCCATGGGGTTCACCCGGCGATTCCGGGGGCGCCCCCCCCCCGGCACCCCCCCGGCACAGGCGCCGGGGTTGCCACCCCCAGAAGATGGCCGCCCGGAACCCTCCCGGGCGACCCCGGAACCCGAGCCCCCCCCCCGCTGGGCGACCCTGGCACCCAGAGTTCTCCCCATCCCCCCCAGGAACGCTAGAAATTAAAGTGGTTCGCCCATGCTGGCGATCCCCGGCCTGGTGTCCGCTGTGGCCTGGCGGCGGCGCCGCCGGCGACCCCTCGCCCGGCTGCAGCGATTCCAACCCGCGCCGCAGCGCGCCAGTTCGAAGGGACTGCGCGAGCATGCTGCGCATGCGTGTCCTCGAATCCGAGGCAGATGGGGCCGGGCCGTCGTCCCGTGCATCATGTGCAGGACCTCCTTCAGCCACAAGCGCCGCCTCCACAGGTGCTTCCTCGGCCACGGCTGCCCCATCAACCGCGGCTGCCGCGGCGGCCCCAACGCCCTCGCCCGGCCCAGCGGCCACTTCGGCAATGGGGCCCTGCACGAATAGATTCGTGGCGTGGTCCCGCACTGCTGGACCGCTTTGCTGGGCCGCCCACGCCCCCACTTCCTCCGGCGTCCACGTGGCCACGGTTGCGCGCGCCCGCCGTCGCAGGATGCACTCGCGGTCAGCATTGTTCTGGCCCGGGTGCTCAGCTTTGATCTTGGCCATCTCGTCCTTCCGGATGTGCCTCGCCCATGCCTTGGCCGCCCGTCGCCGGGCCTCCTGATTGCGACATGCAACCGGCGGCGCAGGCGGCGCGGACTGTTGGGCGTCAGCATCCGGCACAAAACCTCCGCCACCCCCCCCTGCAGCGGCGACGGGTGCTGCGGCGGCCGCGCCACTGCCCTGCGCAGGACGCGGCGCTGGCGGCGCCGTCTTGCCGCGCAGCCTCCTCTGCGCTGCTGGTAGCGCCTGCGCTGCTGGTAGCGCCAACTCGTCGGCACCGACATCGTCTCCTGCTGGGGGGCACACAACTAGCACGGACTCTGGACCGCCACACGGACACCATGCGCCCCTGCGCTCAAGTCGGACCCCCTGCCGCACTGTGAGTGCGACGCCTTTGACTGGCAGGTCCGCTGGCCCATCAATGGGGCCACCAAGCTGTGAGACGTCCGCCTCCTGTCCCAAGTCTGTCAGCAACTCCAGAGAAGACTCCGATAGCTCACAAAGCGCCCGCTGGAGCATTAACACATGAAGCCATAATGCGAAGAAGCGCCCAAAACATACCCACGCTACCCTCCATACCTTTCTTTAGCGACCCCCAAAGCCCCTCGCAGGCCACCCCGAGAAGAGAGGGGGATGGCGGTCACGGCCGCAGGCCGTCTCTGTAACCTGGGACCGCCACCTCGGCATCTTCGAGCTGTGACCCCCCCAAAGTCCTGCTAGCAATTTGGCCTGCACTGCTGCCGACTGCTTCGCCCAGAGTGCCCGTGTGAGGCACATCATCTTGGCCTTCAGCTTATCGGCAGTCGCAGCAGCCCCCAGCTCCTCCACTGCTTGCACGCGCAAGCGACCCCAAACCAACGAGCGCAACCTTCGCAACGCCCGCAGCTTCCCCTCGGTCTCCCCCATTGCTAGATCCAATGAATGCTCTCGGTGGCCTCGTGGCCTGCCTTAACAAGCGAAAGACTTGGGCCAGAGGCCGACTGCGGAGAGGAAGGGAGCAGCGGAGGAAGTGAAGTGAAAGAGCTAAGAGATAAAAGAAAAGGTGGAAGGAGAAACATATTGTATCATTCGCCCCCAGCTCCGAACAAGCATGCCATGTCTGTCGGCAAACTTTACGCTGACTGGGACTTCGAGGCGCATCTGGTCGCAGGGACGCGGAGGCCCCTCCCCTTTCTGAGTTGATTCCCCAACCCTTCCTCAGTTAAACTGGCCCCTCCCCTCCCTGCAGTTGGCGCCCTCCTCCGGCCCTGCCCCTTTCTGAAATCACTCCCGCGCCTCCTACCTAAAAATCGCGCGGACAAAAGCAAGAACGTAAGGTTACGTTCTTGCTCCCTCCCCTCTCCTTCCACCCCCTTGTCCTTCCCTCCATTTATTCCACCCTCCAGTCCCTCGCCCCTGCCGTCATTCCCTCCTTGTCCCGTCCTTGCCCCTGCCCCACCCCGCCTCCCGCTGCTCCTCCTCCTCCTCCTCCTCCCTCGACCCGCAGAGAAAATCAGACATGATAAATTGCATTCTTGATGATTTCCCCTTCATCGCCTCCACTCCCCTACGCTACCCCGCAAGTCGGTAAGAACGCAAGAACGTAAGAGCGTCAGAACGTAATTCCCAGTAATCCCCAATCACTTCAAGGCAATGGCGTTCCCAATAATTTCCAGTGATTCCAAGTAAATACCGTAAGAACGCAGTTATGCAATAATATGGGAATCCAAGAGCGTACGAACGTAGGTACGTAAGGACGTAACAACACGCAATGCAACAACAGAAGACTGCAAGAACGTAGGAAAGCCATATTGTAAACACGTAGCGTGACAACGTCAGGACGCAAGAACGTAAAATCACAATAACGGAATCAACCAACACCGTAATGGCAAACTACAAACGTAAACTGCTGCATGCGGGCGAACGCCCGCCGCTCCGCCCTCCTCTTGCTTTGCCTAGCCCGGGGCCTCAGAAAACCGGGGTTTGAAAAATTGCGAGCGCTTCCTGGTTCAAAACGCAAACCAAACAACGCATGAATACGAGCCCCCGCCGCTCCTCCGTCCCGTGTCCCTCCTCCTTCTGCGCCTCCCCCTCCTCCGTTTCCCCCTTTCTCCTCCCCCTCCTCTGACGCTTCCCCCTGCCCCCCCGCTTTGCAAGAAAAGATGTGTTGATTCCCACCGCCTGGGTCAATCCCCAGGAGAGCCTCGAGGGCCAGACAGGGTCAGTCCCTCTGCCTGTGGAAATCAAAACACCCTTTCAGCAAAACTCCTCCCCCGCCCCCTCATCTGTCCTGTTCGTTCCCTTCCTGCTCTTTGTCTAAACTCCCTCCTAGAAAACGGTCATCGTGAGCACGGAGACGTCGTGCGAACGAGTCCGCAAGGACTATTAGTGAAGCTCCCTTCGGGGTGCGATCCAGGCGAGGGGTGCGCCGAAGTGAGTTTTAAACAAATCAAGCTATGTGAACGCCCATCGAATCAGCGCCGGGGCTGTTCGATGAGCTACCAGGAAGCAGTCAGCGCCGGGGCCGCTGCTTACTAGCTCCGATAGCACGTCACGGGTCCCGGATCCGTTTTCCAGGGCCCCGAGGCCCCGAAGCGGCCCCAGAGCCCGAGGTCGGGAAGACACTCAAAAAACATACGAGTCGAAAGCGAATCGCCCTCGTTGCAGGAGGGTTAATGGAGGGAGAAGGAGGAAGAGGAGGAGGGGCAGGATGGGCAGGAGGAGGAGGATCGAAAAGGCATGTTTGACCCTTTTCGGAACTCCGGGGGCGCCAACAACTGCGCCGGACCACCTCGCACGGGGCCTATCTGTTCCCAGAGTTGCGGGGATGTCTCAAGCGGAACTTGCTGGATCGCTTTGTGCGCTGCATTTTGTCGAAACCCACAAACACAGGGATGTCTCAAGCGAAATGAGCGGAACCATCTCAGGTCACGGCATCTCCGAGCCCAGACATGCGAGGATGTTTCAAGCGAAATGGGCCGGACCACCTCTCGCGTGTCGTCTGGGAGCCCAGAGTTGCGAGAATGTCTCAGGCGAAGCATACTGGGCTATCTCAGATCCGATCGTCTCAAATCACGGACTTCAGAGGATGTCTCATGCGAAATGGGCCGGACCACCTCAATATGTTGACAATATCTTGCTTGGGCGGCATTCGTTCTTACCACACCAACGCCCCCCCGGCACCGGCCGGGCGACCCGGGGACACTCCATAACAAAACCTTTACACCACCAACAAACGAGAACCTCCCATATATATATATATATATATATATATATATATATAGGTGTGTCTCTCTCTCTCTCTCTCGTTCTCTCACTTGTCCCGCCCCCTATCTCTCTCTCTCTCTCTCTCTTTCTGTGCCCATCTTTTCATCGCGTAGCGGTCCCGGATAACCGCAAGAAGTCAGACAGAACCCCGACGCTAAAAAGGATTACTCGCGGGGCGGATTTGTGGAACGATACATTTAGCACCCCACTGAACTGCCACGCATTTGTTCCCCGCCTCCTCCTCCTCTTCCTCCTCCTCCTTCTCCTCCGGGTGCCGGGACAACGATTCAGAGTGCTGGGTGCGCCATCGTTTCGCCAGCAAGGGGAGGGGAGGGTTTTTTTTGGGGGGTGATCTTCATAGCTTCCCGCGGTTCGGGCCGCGGGGCCAGCGGCCACGACGCCCTCTCGGCAGACCGATGAGGCCGCTGCTCGCCCCCCACGAGATCCCTCGCCGCTCGCCGACGATCGGCGCGCAGGCCCTGCGTCGGCCCGGCGGCTTGCAGCGCCGCGCGGGGGGGGCGAGTCGGCCCCCACCAGACCGCCCCCACCTGGCCCGAAGATCAAAGTTTCGGGTTGGGGTGGGGCACGGGTTCTACGCGTGTTTCTTGCAGGCTCTCCAAATCGAGGGCAGATTTGGGCCTTCGGGTTGGGTTGGGGCGCTTTGGTGGGCGGTGGCAACCGTCGTCCAACACGCCCCTCTCGCCTTAAGTCGGGCATGTCCCCCTACAAACGGACTTTGGGGCGACAACTAGAAAAAATAGCAACACATTTGCAATAATAGTCAACACAACATGAATTACTCACCGCGTGGAGCTCCCCATATGTGCATCTCATGTTTTATGTCATGCCGCAGCGAGCGTCTGTTCATGAGCGCTTGACTATAATAGCGCGTCCACGTGGGCGACAGGGCCGACGAAGACGAGTGAATCAGAATGCGAGTGAGTGAATATGATTTAGAATGAGCTTTGAATACGATTGAATCTGAGCCTCCCATTCATTCCCCCTCCTCAATATTCTGGCCGCGAACGGGCCCGTGTCCTACCTACCCCTGGCGGCTCATTTTAGGAGTGCTGAAACCAGCGCCCCGCCTGAGACATCCTCACAAACTGCTCTAAATGCAAGCGAGTCCGCCCACCAAAACAGCCAAACCGCATGAGACATCGCCAAAAACTGGCCGCGAACGGGCTCGTGAAAACACCCCTGGCGCCCCCCCCCCCCCCCCCCTAGGGGTGCTGAAACCAGCGCCCCGCCTGAGACATCCTCAAAACCTGCCCTTAACGCAGACGGGCCTGCCCACCAAAACAGCCAAACCGCCTGAGACATCCTCACAAACTTGCCGCGAACGGGCCCGTGAAAACACCCCTGGCGCCCCCCTTCGGGGTGCTGAAACCAGCGCCCCGCCTGAGACATCCTCACAAGCTGTTCTAAACGCAGACGGGTCTGCCAAAAACAGCCAAACCGCATAAGACATCCCCACAAACTGGCCGCGAACGGGCCCGTGGCAACACTCCTGGCGGCTCCCCTTGAAGGTGATGAAACCAGCGCCCCGCCTGAGACATCCTCAACAACTGCTCTAGACGCAAGGGAGTCCGCCCACCAAAACAGCCATACCGCCTGAGACATCCCCACACGCTGGCCGCGAACGTGCCCGTGGAAACACCCTGGCAGCTCTCCTTTGGGGAGTATGAGTATGAGTAAGTCTGAATATGAAGAGGTCTGAGTATGAGTAGGTCTGAGTATGAGTAAGTGTGTGTATGAGTAAGTATGTGTAAGAGTACGTCTGGGTATGAGAAAGTTTGGGTATGAAGAAGTCTGCGTATGAGCAAGTCTGTGTATGTGTACGTTTGGGTATGAGTCAGTCTGAGTATGAGTAGGTCTGAATCTGAGCATGTCTGAGTATGAGTAAGTCTGTGTATGAGTAAGTCTGGGTATGAAAAAATCTGAGTATGCGTAAGTCCGGGAGGAGGGGAGGAGAAGAAGAGGGAGGGAGTAGGAGGCGTCCAAGCAATAACAAGAACCCCATCTTAGGATGTGGGGTCAAACGACGTCCCCAGGCCATGTTTTTTACTCTTGAATCTTCCTCCTGTAGAGGGACACGTCCGACTTAACTCTTACCGTCCCCGTCCTCCGCGGGCTCCGCCGCCATCGGCACGCGCACTCAGCGCGAGGCCAACGGGGGCGCCGCCTTCAGCGGCAGCGCCGCCGCCGCGGGCAGCTCCGCGAACTCGAGTCGCCGCCGCTGCGCGCCTCTGCCGGCACCGCCGCCGTGTCTGCCGCCCCCCTCCACTAGAAGAAGGAACAACAGTTTGCGAGCGAAGAACGGTATAAAATAACTATTCCAGCCGTCGGGGACACCTGCCCCTGGGCGGCTGGAAAATTTATACCCCTACGGTGCCACCGGAAGGGTATAAACTTTCCAGCCGCCCTGGGACAGGTGTCCCAGACAGCAAACAAGTTTATGATATACCGTTCTTCGCCCGTTAAAAAACCTAACAACGATGTGTAACAGCATATCTGGAAGCATTCCCCTTAAGATTCAGATGAGAATCCGGTTGTAGAATTCAGCTGTTCTCGCAGTCGTAGTCGCATTCGCGATGACAGTCGCAGTGGCGACGGCAGTCGCCGTCACAGCCTCAGCCTCAGCCTGTTTCAGCCTCAGCCTCAGCCTGCCTCAGCCTCAGCCTGCCTCAGCCTCAGCCTCAGCCTGCTTCAGCCTCAGGATCAGTCTACCTTCAGCCTCGGCCTCAGCCTCAGCCTGCCTCAGCCTCACCCTGCATCAGCCTCAGCCTCAGCCTCAGCCTGCCTCAGCCTCAGCCTGCCTCAGCCTCAGCCTCAGCCTGCCTCTGCCTCAGCCTGCTTCAGCCTCAGCCTCAGTCTGCCGTCGGCCTCAGCCTCAGCCTCAGCCTGCCTCAGCCTCAGCCTGCATCAGCCTCAGCCTCAGCCGCAGCCTGCTTCAGCCTCAGCCTGCCTCAGCCTCAGCCTCAGCCTCAGCCTGCCTCAGCCTCAGCCTCAGCCTGCTTAAGCCTCAGCCTCAGTCTGCCTGCAGACTCGGCCTCAGCCTCAGCCTGCCTCAGCCTGAGCCTGCCTCAGCCTCAGCCTCAGCCTCAGCCTGCCTCAGCCTGAGCCTGCCTCAGCCTCAGCCTCAGCCTGCCTCAGCCTCAGCCTCAGCCTGCTTCAGCCTCAGACTCGGCCTGCTTCAGCCTCGCCCTCAGCCTCAGCCTGCCGCAGCCTCAGCCTGCCTGAGCCTCAGCCTCAGCCTGCTTCAGCCTCAGCATCTGTGTGCCTTCAGCCTCGGCCTCAGCCTCCGCCTGCCTCAGCCTCAGCCTGCATCAGCCTCAGCCTCAGCCTCAGCCTGCCTCAGCCTCAGCCTGCCTCAGCCTCAGCCTCAGCCTGCCTCAGCCTCAGCCTCAGCCTGCTTCAGCCTCAACGCCAGTCTGCCTTCAGCCTCGGCCTCAGGCTGCTTCAGCCTCAGCCTCAGTCTGCCTTCAGCCTCGGCTTCAGCCTCAGCCTGCTCAGCCTCAGCCTCAGCCTCAGCCTCAGCCTCAGCCTGCCTCAGCCTCAGCCTCAGCCTCAGCCTGCAGCCTCAGCCTCAGCCTCAGCCTGCCTCAGCCTCAGCCTCAGCAGCTCAGCCTCAGCCTCAGCCTCAGCCTCAGCCTCAGCCTTCAGCCTCAGCCTCAGCCTGCTCAGCCTCAGCCTCAGCCTCAGCCTCAGCCTCAGCCTCATCAGCCTCAGCCTCAGCCTCAGCCTCAGCCTCAGCCTCAGCCTCAGCCTCAGCCTCAGCCTCAGCCTGCCTCAGCCTCAGCCTCACCTCAGCCTCATCAGCCTCAGCCTCAGCCTCAGCCTGCTTCAGCCTCAGCCTCAGTCTGCCTTCAGCCTCAGCCTGCCTCAGCCTCAGCCTGCCTCAGCCTCAGCCTCAGCCTGCCTCAGCCTCAGCCTCAGCCTCAGCCTCAGCCTCAGCCTGCCTCAGCCTCAGCCTCAGCCTGCTTCAGCCTCAGCCTCAGTCTGCCTTCATCCTCGGCCTCAGCCTCAGCCTCAGCCTCAGCCTCAGCCTCAGCCTGCCTCAGCATTCAAAATGTGGCCCAGGAATGGAGTTCTGGGAACTCGAAAAACACGAAGTGGCCTACAGTTGGCTCCAGGCATTCAAAATCATGCCCAAGAATCAAATTCTGGGAACTCGAAGACCACGAAGTGGCCTACAATTGGCTCCGAGCATTCAAAATGTGGCCCAGGAATGGAGTTCTGGGAACTCGAAGAGCACGGAGTGGCCTACGGCTGGCTCCGGGCATTCAAAATGTGGCCCGGGAATGGAGTTCTGGGAACTCGAAGAGCACGAATCGGCCTACAGTTGGCTCCTGGCATTCAGAATGTGGTTTGGGAGTGGAGTTCTGGGACCTCGAAGACCACGAAGTGTGTAACTGTTTGCTTGAAACGACTTCCGCGGATCCCTGTCGGGATGCCGCCAAGACCCCCCTGGGGAGTCATGATGCTCTCTTTTGGTCCTATTAGAAGCCTATCAGTCTTCGCTGCTCGGTAAAAAAACTTCTGACGCTCCGCGCGGACGTTTGGGACCTGCGCTGGAGACCCCCCTCTCGAGCGCGCGGGGCGCGCCAGAGGCGGCGCGGGAGGCGCGGATCCAATAAATCCGCGCGGAGCACCAGAAGTTCAATGTGTGTGGCGAATTTTTCGGGAGCGGCCAAGAGGGGGGTGATGACTAGGGGGGGGTGCAAATCATGACCGGCGGCACGTGCGCGACCCAGCGGGGGGCCCAAGGACGTAATGAAACAAGAAGAGGCGCCATGAAATCTCGGGAAATATCATGGCCCACGCCATGACCCCCCCCCCCTAGTGGTCACCCCCCTCTCTGCCGCCCCCGAATTTCCTTCTTCGATCACCCTGGGCAGGCGCCGGGCGGCGGTGCCGCCAGGGGGGGTCCGCAGCGCGGCCCCCTGGCGGCCATGCGGGTGCCGCCCCGCAGGTGCGCACGAGCCGCCCCACTCGAGCAGGGACCGACCGCCCCGGCATTCCTATTAGCGCTGGACAAACCTCCCTTTGGTAGACCTCCCCTTAGTGAAAACGGCCTGGGGCCGAAACCGATGGACCTGGACCCGCAAAAATGACGGCCGCGACGCCATCCCGCGAACCGAAAACAGCCAATTCACCAATCGACGTGTCAGGGTAGGAGGTCTGTCCAGCCCCGATCCTATAGTCCCACCGCAAAATGTTCTCAGAACCCAAAAGCGTTCCCAGAACACAAATAATGTTCTTAAAACATCAGCCCTGTTTGATAAAACAAGACAGACTCCGCCAGAAAGGTTCTACGAACATTCCGTGCAACCCACAAAAAAAGGTTTCTAGAACATCGCTTGGTAGGGCTATAGGCGAGCCAGGACGCTTCGCCACTGCTTGAGCCTCACGTCCCTCGCGGCCCCGCCCCGGGCCTGCGGCCCACGGGCGCCGCCGCCGGCGCGGCCCACGGGCGCCGCCGCCGTGGGAGAGGCCACGCCGGCGCAGGCGCGGCGCAGCAGGGCTGGAGCCAACAGGGCTGCGGAGTCTCTCGCTCTCTCTCTCTCTCTCTCTCTCCTTCTATTTTGTAAGTTGCTTTTGCTCGTGTTCTGTCTCTCTCTCTCTCTTCTCTCTCTTCCTCTCTCTCTTCCTCTCTCTCTCTCTCTCTCTCTTCCTCTCTCTCTCTCTCTTCCTTTCCTGCCTTCCTTTCTCTCTCTCTCTCTCTTGCTCTCTCTCTCTCTCTCTATCCATCTCTCTCTCTCTCTCTCTTCTCTCTCTCCCCCCATCCCAGCCCGCTCCAACACTCCAACGTCCCCCGCCTGACCTGCAAACCTCTGGTTCGCCCCCTTTTCGCAGTCTTCGGCTTCACATCCCTCTTACAACCTGCCCGCTTCTCGGCTCGGTAACCCTTCGATCATCCTCATCCCACCCATTCTCTCCAAATCCTCCGCCCCTCCTCCCAAGACGTCCTGCTTCGCCACCCTGCGCCACCTTCCCGCATTGCGTCTTCCGTCCCCGAGCCGATCCAAAGAGGGAGAGAGAGTCTGAGATCCTCTGCTTGCTCCAGCTGCTCTTTCAACGTCTCGACCTCTGTCTTGAGATCCTGCTTGGGAGCTGGGAAAATCTCGCCGCAACATGGACTTACGCCGACAGGGGGGTAGGGTATGAGGGTTGCGTCCATCGGCACGGGTGCGCTGAGCAAGATTGCTCCCTGAGCATAAGTCCACCACAACGCTTGCACAGGTGGATGTGGGTCGGACCCGTATTTCTGTTGGCAGCGTCGCTTCTTGCGAAACGATGTAGAGTCGAAGCGTTGACCTAAGGAACCCTAAAAAAGTAACGATGCCCCTTTTTTCCACTAGTTAAACTTCGATTTCCCATCGAAAACATAAGGAACACCTTAGACAAGCTGTGAAACAATGCAGGAACACGGAGCCCCTCCCCAACGACAAGGGTTCCTTCTTCATGACTGTATCCCGCTCCAGTACACACACAAACACACACGCACACACACACACACGCACATACACACACGCGCACGCCACATCTCCCCGGCGCCCGCCCGCTCGCGGAGCCAGATTCGCGCGGCATCGCAAGCGGGGAACATGACAATTACCTCGGCAGCGGTAGAAAGGAAGATTGGCTTCTGTGGGGAGCACTATGGAACTTTGACGGCGGCAAACCCTTTCGATAAACACACGATCATGGTTAGTAGAAACAACAACGGTTTTGATTAAGTCAATCCCTAACCCACTCGCTGAACACTATAAACGCTCATTGTCTGGCTATACCAAATACCGTATGACACTGTCTGGTCATGACATAGAAACCACCATCCGCGACACCGTACGGGCATACCACATGAAACTGTTGGAACACAACCTTGAACCTTCGCTGGTGTAGTGCGGCCCACTTGGCCTGACCAAAGGCCACTCTACGTGGACTTGAAGAGTGCGGATCTTCAAACTAGTGATCCAAGAAATGCGGAGTCTGATAATTGCTGCTGACGTGGGCTTGCATAGGTCACAACAACAATCGGCGCTGGAGCTGAGTTGCTGGCTGAAACAGAAAGGGCTGAGCGCGAGGCGTCTGACAGTCCAGTCTATAGATTACGAGCTGGATGGGCGCCTAAAATCACGGATGCTGCACTGCAGAACACGAGGCCACAAAATGGTCTGAACTTGCGCGACTATATGTCATGCTTCCGGTCGCGCCCGCCGTGATTGAATCTGCGACCCTCGACAGACAAACGCACGCATCTGGAAGATCGGACACATCGGTGGCCAGAACGTTACGATGCCAAAATCCGCCAGCCCTGTCGGCGTGTGCGAGGGGTCTATCCGTTCGAAACGTCGTCTCCGTCAGTCGTCGTATCCGTCGTCCACTTTTCCCTGCAGCCTCCTCCGCAAGTATGTCTCAGCAAGAGAAACAAGTAGCAACGTCGTAATCGAATCGAAGGGAAGCCCCTTCCCTCTGATCCCTCCCCCGTTGTTGGTGGGGGGGTTGTCCCCGGGGATGTCCTGGGTCAGATGCGCATCTCCCGGGGAGGGGTCCCGGGACAGACTCGCACCCCCCCCATGGGGTCCTGGGGCCGCAAAGCACCAACACAGGCAAAGAGTGGCCCAAAAGGTCCCCGAGATGGTCCCAAATGGCCCCCAATCGCCAAGCGATCGGTCCCAAAGGCTTTCACGCCCTCCAGGCTGCCAAGGAAACATCCAAGACGCTCCAACAGGCCTCCAAGAGCAATCCCGAGAGGGCCCAAGAAGCAAATTGCATTGACTTTCCGATCGTGTTTGAAAGATTTGGGTGTTCTCGCCTTCACCGCTTCCCGCCGCTCCAAGACGGCCGAAGAGGCCCCCAAGATCGCCCCAAGATGGTCCAAGAGGCCTCCAAGAGGGCCCCGAGACTGCCCAAGAGGACAAAGAAACAACCCCAAAAGCCTCCGAGGCGGCCCCAGATGCCCCCAAGACGGCTCCAAGAGCGTGCTCAGACGGGGTCCCGAACGGATATTACGAGCGCTCGGCCCCGAGAGGCCCCCATGAGGCCCCAAGTCCCCAGGAAGCCCGAAGAGGCCCCCCAAGAGGCTCCCAAGAGGCCCACAGGAGAATCCTAAGAGGCCCACCAATTCCTCCCCAGAGGCCCCCCAGAGCCTTCCGAAAAGACCCCAAGAAGCATCCCTGAGGACTCTGGCCCACGTTAGCGTCGCCGCCGCAGAGGCCACCGCCGCCGTCGCCGTCGACGTCGTCGTCGTCGCCGTCGTCGTCGTCGTCGTCGGCGGCGGCGGCGTCGGCGTCGGCGTCGGCGTCGGCGTCGGCGTCGGGGTCGGCGTCGGCGTCGGCGTCGGCGTCGGCGTCGGCGTCGTCGTCGTCGTCGTCGTCGTCGTCGTCGTCGTCGTCGTCGTCGTCGTCGTCGTCGTCGTCTCCCCTCAAGGTCGGCGGCATTGGCCGTAAAGCCTTCACACTATGACTCGCTATCACAAAGATTTACTAATTACGCTGCTGACCTTGCGTCGTCTCACCGAAGCTCATATGTGTCGGAACAAATTGGCCGCGTGCGGCTTAGTACCAGGTTGTATTACCTGCAACTGGAAACCTACGCTTCAACCGAAGACCCCGATTCAGACTGAGAGACAACCACCTGCAAGGTTTGAAAATAATGTAGATCGTCTGCTGATGTCCTTGGAAATGCTCCCTCCTCCGATGTTTTCCTATTCTTCGCCCCTCGTTCAAAAACATTGTTTATTACTACAGGCGTGCGTTTGTCAAGGACGGGCAATCCAGACGACTTAGCCGATCATATCGTTTGATATTGTAGCCCGCGCGCATGACGAACTCGGAGGAGGCATGGTGGGCAGATACAACTCGGTACAGACACCGCAGCACCCTGGCATGGTGGCGTGGTGGGCGCTCCTGGTTCTCGTGCTCGAGACCCTCGACCCTGCGCGCAGCGTTGCAAAGAATGGGAAACGCTGGATGGACGGATCGGGAAAGAGCAACACAAATCTGGACACAGCTTCAACATCAGCATGGCAAAACATAAGCACTCTAATATGCTCATTCTGGGAGCCTTCCTGGAGCCATTCGCTCCACTCGTGCGTCGAAGCTGCGTCGAACCTGAGTCAAACCTGTGTCGAACCTGAGTCGAACCTGTGTCGAACCTATGTCAAACCTGAGTCGACTCTGGGTCGAACCTGAATCGTACTGGAATCGAACCTGAGTCGAACATATCCGCTAGGTGGGCCAAGGTCCCCAACACGAGCACCTAACATGATCACTCCGTATCCAACCGCACACTCGGGGGCGGCCAAGAGGGGGGCGCCAAAGAGGGGGGGGGCAGAAAAATCATGGCCGGTGGCATGTGCGAGACTACTGGATCACTACTGGAGCCTGGAGCAAAGCTTTCTTTCGGACATTGCTTCAGCGAGGCGATGGAGCAGTTTGAGGATACAGTGCCAGACGAGGGAAACGTGAACATCGCGTGGTCTCGTCTTGTGGACGGCTTCCCTCGGGCAGAGGAATCCATAGTGTCAATCGAACGCCATCGACCGAGACGCCCCTGGACGAGCAGCTGCACCCTCAATTTGATAGCAAGGAGAAAGGAGTCAAGACGCCAAGGGGACGCACTGGAGGAAAAAACACTTGCAAAACAGATCCGAGCATCAATCGCCCGTGACCCGGCTCATTGGCTCCATGATGTTACTAAAGAAAGTGATTGGGCGCAGATCCAGAAGCTGCGCAAAGGGCGAACGCGATAACCACGCAGACTACGAGACAGCGCCGGCAAACTTGTGGACAGCGACAAGCGGGCCGACACTCTGGCCGAGCATCTGGGACAAATCCAGTGGGCGGTGCGTCCGACCACGGTCCTCCCGAACACCGAGAGCATCCACCCGGAACTGCCCGTGATGCTTGACGCCATCATGGAGTCAGAAGTCCGGGAGGCCGCGCAGAAGCTGAAGAACGGGCGTGCAGCTGGACTGGATCAACACCGCCGGAGTTTTGGAAGGCTGTGACCGAAGATGGGGAGGCCGCAATTTCTTGGGTCACCCGATTTTGCAACGTTGTATGGTCACAAACTTGCGTGCCCGATGCGTGGCGGAAGTCCAGGGTCACGATGATTTACAAGAAGGGCGACCCGTCGGCCTGCGACAACTACAGGCCCATCAGCCTCCTACCAATAGGATACAAAGTGTTCGCTACGATATTGTTGGAAAGGTTGAAGCAAGCAGGGGCCGAAGATCATATCTGGCGCACCCAATTTGGTTTCAGATCCGGCCGAGGAACCGGCGACGCTATCTTCTTGGCCAGACGAATCCTCGAGGACGCGTGGGCGACGAAGCAAGGCTCGTCATTGCTACTCGCTCTGGACTGGGCAAAGGCCTTTGATTCAGTATCGCCGAGCGCTCTGGCAACTTCACTGCGGAGGTTCGGGTGTCCCTCGAAATTCGTTGACATGGTTGAATCAATTTATCATGATCGGTCTTTCGTCGTCTCAGACTCAGGCACCTTGTCGGCGGAGCGGAACCAGCAATTTGGGATATGTCAGGGATGTCCACTATCACCATGTCTGTTCACAATCGTAATGACAACGTTGCTGACAGACGCCCATTCCATGTTCCAGGTGCGCATGCCGAATGTTCCACAGCCACATTTTGTCAGGGAATTGGTGTACGCTGACGACACTCTCCTGCTGGACGCCAGTCCGGACATCATCCAAGATATGATGTTCTGCATAGAGGAATGCGGGCGACACTATGGACTGAGCCTGAATTGGCGCAAGGTGGAAGTGATGCGCGTTCGCAGCGGAGCTCATCTTGTCAATGGCGCGGGTGAGGCGGTGAAGGAAACCAGCAGCTTAGTATACTTGGGCGCGTTGCTGTCAGCAGATGGCCGGAGCGGCGCAGAGCTTAACCGTAGACTCGGTGCGGCCAGGCAAGATTTCAACGTGCTGAGCGCAATCTGGTCGCATGCTGCATTGTCCCGCCGCCATAAAGTCAGTATTTGTTTAATGCATGCGTAGTTGCTAAATTAACATATTCTCTGTTTACTATGTGCTTGAATCAGGCCGAACGCCGGAGAATTGACGGATTTCAAGCCCAGTGTCTAAGGAGGATTTTCCGCGGGCCACATTCATATTACAGTAGAGTTTCGAATAACACTGTTTTGAGCATAGCGGAGCAGCGGCCTTTGAGCGAGCAAATCTGTAAACATCAGATGCTCTTCATGGGCAAGCTGGCGAGACGCCCCAGCACAGACCCGGTGCGCATGTCTGTGTTTGAACCTGACAGCATGGACATACGATCGCCATCAGGGCCTCGGAAGAGAGGCTGGCCCCGACAGAATTGGGGCAACATGGTGATGAACAACTGTTTGCGTGTGGCCGGCTCCGCCGCTCGCCTTGCTGATTACTTCCGCCTGGAGGGCGGTGCAGCGCGAGCTTGGGCGTCGGCCGTGCGATCTTGGTACATGTAGTGCATTTTTCCCATCTCTGCTAGCGCACCGTCTGGTGCAAGGCTTCTGACTGACTGGTGGCATGTGCGCGGCCCAGGGGGGCGGCCAGGAACGCAGTGGAGTGAGAAGAGGCGCCATGAAATCTGCGGAAACAGCATGGCCCACGCCATGATTTGGGCGCCCGAGGTATCCGGGGTAACTCGGGTACGGGGTAACTCTGGTTTGGATTCCCGAAAAAGGAACCCGAGTTAGACCTGACCCGAGTTACCCCTGATGATGTGGGGCTCTGGACGCCCGAGTTATCCGGGGTAACTCGGGTCCGGGTTCAGTCGGGTTCGGACTCCCGAAAAACGGACCCGAGTTAACCCTGACCCGAGTTACCCCCGATGATTCGGGGCTCTGACATGATATCCGCCCCCCCCTAGTCCTCACCCCCCCCTCTGCCGCCCCCGACCGCATCTAGGCGACGAGCACAGGGGGGAAATGAGAAGGAGAAGGCCTTCTCAGAAGGCCGCGGGACTTCTTAGAAGTCCGGGGAGCTTCTGAGACGTTTCCTTGGCCTATTTCGAATACAGACAGAACTTCTCAGAAGCCCTCTCAGAAGTCCAGAAACTTCTCAGAAGCCTCGGAAGTCCCGCCCCTTCTCATTTCCCCCCCGCGCCCGCCGCCGAGCATCGGGCCCCGGCGGCACCGCAGGCACGCCCCGGGGCAGGGCGGCGCAGGCCGAGCACGCCAGGCACACGGCGGGCGCTCCTGCGCTTCAGCTCCGCGTTCTCCTCGATCAGCGTGTCCACCTGCCAAGGCCGGCGCCTCGCTCCCCCCCTCCTCCCCCCATCCCCTCCCCCCCCTCCCCCTCCTCCATCCCTCCCCTCCCTCCCCCTCCCCCTCCTCCATCCCTCCCCTCCCTCCCCCTCCCCTTCTCCCGCCCGCCTCGGGTCGAGGGCGCTGGGCGCTCAGAGCGTAGGCAAGACAAGTGACCTCCCGCAGCCTCCAGCCTGGTGAGACCGTTGCCGTATCAGCCATACGGGACCACTGCGTGTCACATCCCCTTCTTCCCGCGCGCGCCATGGCTCCGACAGGCCCACGCCGTGCCCCCTCTGCACCCCGCCGCAACCCAAACCACCATGTGAGGGCCGCCCACCGAAGGCTACCTTAGCGCATCGGTTTGGTTTTACCAACGTCGCGCAACACATCTTGCACACACGCAAGACACATGGCGAATTGTTGCTGAAGCCGGTTCGACTGGAGATGCTCATACCTTCCTCCAGGATCTCCCTCCCACAACCATCATCCCAATGTTACGGTCTGCATTGCAATGGGAATGAAGTTGATAGGAATGAGTGCGATTTCAGTCCAATAGCAGCCAGCGCGATATGAAAAACGGCAATGACAAGACATGCAGTGTAAACTGTTGCGAAGAAGTGCGTTGCAAGCAAGAGCAACGCAAAACACATCACATCAATACACTGCAATTCAGCTCAAGGATATTCAAACACATGCAAATACTATGCAGAGCAATGCGCTGCAATACATTGCACTGCGGAGCCGCGTGAACATACACGTAGATGCATACGAAGACAACGATGCGCAAAACACTGTGACACGCCGCTCCATGAGTAGCTGTTCTCCGAGCACTGCTTGCGCGAAGGGTTCTTACCTGGCTTCAGAATAGACTTCCCATTGACTCCGTGCTCTGTGGGTGCTCCACGACGGGTGCCCAGCGAGGATTGACTGGATGCGGTGGTCCGCTGCTGCCTTGGAGCCACATTTGCGGTGCTCTCTGTCTGGCGCCCGCACCACGGTTGGCCCAACGTGCTCTCTGCGTGCGGTGTTCTGCGGCAATCGACCGGTGGTTCCGTAATGTCTGAGGCCTGTTGTTACTGCACGTGTGCCCTACGGGTGGTGTCCAGCTGCGTTGCGGCAAAAAACTCTGCGGGGCACCCGTGGCTGCGGTGTCTCGCAACTGCAGCGGAGCTAGATTGACCGTGCTGCCCGGCTGGCGCTGTACGGCACATTTGCGGAATTGGGTACGACGTCTCGTTCTTGTCATGGCGCCACTTGGGTGGTGCATCACGTCTGGCGCCCTGTGGTGCACCAGTGGTTGCGATCTCTGGTGCTGACCCTGGCGTCCGATGGGTGCTTGTCCAGTGATGCCGCCCGATGGTGCGTCACATACTATTCTCTCTCTGTGTCGAAGGGGGGTCCCCCGACCACCCATGCTTCTCGCGCGAGGACGTGGAGGAGGAGGAGGAGGAGGAGGAGGAGGAGGGAGAGGAGGAGAAGGAGGAGGAGGGGGAGGAGGAGGAGGAGGAGGAGGAGGAGGAGGAGGAGGAGGGGGAGGGGGAGGGGGAGGGGGAGGGGGGGGGAGGAGGAGGAGGAGGAGGAGGAGGAGGAGGAGGAGGAGGAGGAGGAGGAGGAAAACTCTATGGCGGTCACTGCAAGATTCCATGATGACTGCGATGTCGCATGCTTGCTGGCTGTACCGTGCGGGCGACGCCCTGTGGCTGGAACACTTTGGTGCTCGCGTGGCTGCGATGACCCTTGCCGCTGCCCATGTGCCGATGCCGGCGGTGCTCCATGGCTGCTGTCAAGTGGTGGCAGAGTCTGGCCACCGCTCGGACGTCCATTCCCTGTGTTTTTTTTGCGGTTTCGTGCGCGGCTGTTTCGCCACATGATCAAGGATGCTCCTCGATGGTCCTCGCCGAAGGAAACATGCACACGTCCGAGCGATGCCAAGGTCAAGTGGTGGCAGAGTGGTTGCGTTGGTGACACAATGGCGGCGTCGTGGTTGCGCCCGCAGATGCAGGTGATGGATAAGAGTTCGGTCGGGCATGTCCTCCTACAGGGGGATGTTGGGAGAACAATTAAAATATCCCAAACATATTCAACATGAACCCCAAACAAATCGGACAATAATCCCCATACTATTTGTGGACTCTTTTGGAATACCCCTCCCGTAGAGGGGCATGCCCGACTTAAGATAAGCGTGAGGCTGCGGCGGGTTACTCGGCAGTCTGCGAGGCTCTGACGAGGCCCGCGGCAGGCATATGCGTGCAACAGATGTACAGCGAGCCCGCCACAGGCGCAGAGTCTCTCGTCAAAGCAGTGCGGGTGTGTCGCGGGCGGGTCGCGGACGAGAACGACGACAACAACAACAGTGACAGTCATTTTGCCCTGATGCACCCTGTTCCAGCATGCTTCATGCATCCATCATGATGCCAGCCCCCTCTTGGTGGAACTAGGCACTGGGCGAAAGAGGTGGGCCGCTATTCCCACACCCACACCTCCCGCCCAAGGAGGACGACCCATCACCTTTCCCGAAACACAGTCCTTCTCTCAGCTCCCACGACGCATAAAGCACAATGCAAGTATGGGGAGCGGTGAAGATTCAACACGCTAGGGAAAAGGGCGGTACATAGGAACGTTTGCGATACACTCGGGAGGCTCGGGCACCAGTCGACAGGGAGTAGACAGGAACAGACGGAAGACACACAACAACATCGAGCCACAGTCGAAACAAATAATATATACGGACGTGAGAAAACAAACGCACAGAGAATCCGAGCCGTAGCAGAGGGGCTATCGCCAGGAGCAGACATAGCAACCAAAAGCGTTCGAGCTCCGAGGGAGGGGCAGCGAAGCCCACGGGAGCGACGCCTAGGAGGGAGAAGCCTACGGGGGGGGGGGGGCAGAAGAGCACTCCCCGAAAACAGATCCAGGTACAAGGAAAGTGCCTCCTGGGGCCTCTGGGCGGGAACCCCAATGCAACAAGAGCGTCGCCTGGGGCCTCCTGGGGGCGGGAGGGCCAAGACAATTCCCCAAAACAGTTTTTTGTGTTCGTCGGCGGCGAGGCGGCGAACCCCGCTCCAGCACGAAGCCAGATAGGGGCACCAACTGGCGAATTGGCCGGCGAGCAAAGGGGGAAGGAGGGACGGCCGAGAGTGTAGAGGCCCCAGGACACACAAATAAATAGACACAAATTAAAGGATTCCCCATATTTTCAAATATTTTGCAGGGTTTTCGTTGTCCCCCCCACTTCCCGTGTTTTCCAATGTTTTCTATGGAATCGATGATTAATTGTGTCTGTGTGTTTTAGTCCTTCCTGAAAAGAGGGAAGGAGGGACGACCGAGAGGGAGAACAGACGCTCAGACGCCGAAGAACCCGACAGTGAGCGGCCGGGGGAGCAGAGCAGCACCCAGGCGCGCAGGGCCAGAGCGCGGCGTGGACAATTCCCCAGACACATACAGTCGGGGCGTTGACCTAAGGAATCCTAAATAAGGAACGAGGCCCCTTTGTCCCATAAGTTAAACTTCGATTTTCGATCGAAAACATAAGGAAAACCTGAGGCAAGCTGTGAAACACTGAAGGAACATCGAGCCCCTCCCCAACGAAAAGGGTTCCTTCTTCAGGGCCCCGACTGTATCCCCACATTCCGAGCACAGATCCCAAGACAGAGGATGCCTCCTGGGGGCGAGAGGGCCAATATCCCAGGAGCGTCCTGGGCCCCCGTGGGGCCTCCGAAGGCAGCAGCAAGACTGCTCTGACGGATTCCTTTGGGCTGCTGAGTTGCGAACAAGCTCAAGCGAAGCGGCCGTTCCAGCATCCGCGAGTAGCAACAAGAATGCTCTGAAGGACCCCCCCCGTTACATTGATTTGCAATGGAACCTCCAGCGAAAAGGCTGTGTATCCGCGAGTAGCAGCAACCTTGTTCTGAAGGACACCCTTGTAGTGCTAACTTGCGAAGAGGTCTCTTGCGAAATGGCCGTTCTGACATCCGCAGGTAGCGGCAACACTTATCTGAAGGACCCTCCTGTGGTGCCAAGTTGCGAGAAGACTCAGGCGAGAGCGCCCCTCCTGAGGCTCGGGCCCTCTCTGGCCAGGGCCTCTCGGAGTCAACTGTGAGGAGGTATCGCACGGGAGCGTTGCTGTTGTTGGGGGGCGGTGTGGGCGATATGCCGAAACGCTCGAACGATAGCATCAATCCCACAAGCCCTCTGGGTGTAGGTGGTCTAGGGAGGCTCCTCTTCCAACCCCCTTCTTCCCCTTCGGGGAAAGGTTGACAGTTCCCGCTTACCCCCTCCCCTACGTAGACTTCGACGGAGAGGTTCACGAGGGGTTGGAGCGTCAGAGATGGCCCAACACGGCTTCAAGAGCTCAGAGACCCCAAGACACTCTCCAAGATGGCTCAAGATAGCCCAAGATGGCTCCCAAGATGCTCCAAGAGGCCCCTAAGAACGCAACAATATGGCTCCAGGAGGCCACGGAGCCTCCCCTGGAGGCCGGCTAGAGGCCAAAATCCTCCCCAGTCCCACTGGGAATGAATGTGTTTCACTTTCTCGCCTTTTCGCTTCCGATGGCCCTCCGAAACCTGAGGATGGCTCCCAAGATGGTCCAAGAGGACTCCAAGAGGAGCCCAAGAGGCCTCCAAGACGGCCCCAAGAGCGCCCGAACGGTCCGAGAGCACCCCGAGAGCGCCCCAAGAGGCGATTTGAGCTCCAGAAGGGGAGGCCGTAATTGAAGTCCCCCCGTTTTGTGATCGATGACTTCCAAGATGGCTCCAAGAGCGCCTCTAAAGCTCCCAAGAGCGCGCCCCGGATGGCCCCACGAGGTGCCCGAGGGGCCTCCAAGAGGCTCCCAAGAAACCCCAAGATGCCTCAAGAGGATCCCCGAGGCGCCCAAGACGCTCAAAGCCTGCCCTGGGCCCGCCAATAGACCCCCAAGGCGCCCCAAGAGGTCCTTGAAAGTCCTGTACCTCCTGCACCTCCTGCACCTCCTCCTCTTCCTCCACCTCCT